TCGTCAACGCATTCGGAAACTTTCAACTACACCTCGGTCTTCTGATCCACCTGTGTCGCTGCCGCATCGTCCACCTATAGGTTTTTTGTCAAGAGCTTGGGTCGACCGTTAATGGAACGTGGTCAAGTTATTAAAAAACAGTTGGGCTTGTGAATCTTGGGCTGAAAGTTTTAAGCATCATATGCCTAAGTAAGCTGTTTTATGTTGAAATGTTGCGACCCAGGTTTTCACCTCTAGGTTAGCGTTAAACCTCAAAACTGCGATTATGTTAGGCCAAGGTTTTCAACCCTGCCGTAAAACCTTGGGCCCTAGGAATGCATCCACCTAGAGGTGGCTGAATACCCCGTACTAGGCTAAGTTGCGCACCCAACCCCTATCTCAGATGTCTGAAACTTACTTGTACGAGCCTTAGTTTGGAACTCACTGTGCTTTGTCCGCTGCCAGCTGTTGAAGCGGAGCGGGCTCAGGATGTTGCAAATTCCTACTAATTTGCACTCATGAGCTTGAACTTTGCGGCTGCTTGGTATGGCTGCTGCGCTGGCGCTCTGCACTGCATTGGCCTGTAGCTTTTGACTGCAGCTGTGTGAAAGTGGCTTTTCGTACAGTAACAGTGCACTGTTTAATAACTTTTGGGATGAATTGTCCCAGGGCCGCCCTTTGCTGGTTTTTGCCCTCAGGTTTTAGTAACCTTTGACAAAACTTTGGTTGATGTTTTGTCACCAAACAGTTCACCTTACCAGCATTCGATGCGGAAGGGAACGCCCAATTTTGCCTCTTGTTTTGGAAATCTTGAGCTTCTCGTGCAGAGCAGCTGCCTACGTGAATTGGGCGCGGCAATTCGCATTGGCAGCTTGGAGATTTGCACCCGAGAGCTCGAATTTTTCCACGGGGGGTAGTTTGAATCACCCAGCATTCCATCAAAGGATGGAGGTGCACTAAAGGCTTGCCAAACGTTTCTTTGGCTCAAACTGTGCAAAAGTCTCTTGCATTGCACTGGCGGTATTGAGCTGAAACCTTGAAATCTATCCTTTTTTTCCTTTCGACAACACTGGGGCCGCCCGATCCTTCGGCAATCGTTGTTCTTTACTGTGCTGGAGGTCATTCCATGCATCCCATTGTGGCGACCATGTGTAAACAATGTTGCCGTTTTCAATGGCCACATCTACAACTTTTTGCTCACCAACCACTAAGGATCGGAAATTCTCATCAATGCTCGCCTCATGTTTCATGAATCCTCACTGGGCCTGTTGCCACTTCAAACCGATCAAACACATTTTTCGGGAACGAATCAAAAACGGCAAGTCCTGAGTAACCCACAGCCTGGCACCCCCTTCTTGTAAACCAGCACTTCGCAACAACGCCACTGCAGTGTCACGCTCGAAGGTAGAAAGGAACTTGGCAAACAACATCAAACAACAGGCCCTGGAATTGTTGTGACTTCATGTATGTCCCCTGTTGGCATGAGCCATTGAGGGTTTTCAACTTGTCGTTCAACCATTGTGTTGCTGTTTCGAGTGTTTGCAAGGATTGCAAGCGTCCAACCACCATAGTTTTCATCACCGAATGTCATGCATATTCATGTTGCCCTCTATTTTTGCAAACGCTCTGCCACACTATCGCTCAAACGTGCCCCTTTGAATCCAATCACTAATCTCGATCAATTTGTGATATTTGTGCTAGTGTTGCTGTTGTGACTTGAAAAAAACAAACTTAAGCAAACTTGGGCAATAGGAGAAGAGGATGGTGAAACAATGGGTTCAACGCCGTACTGATAAAAATAGATTGTAACCTGGAGGTTTTTTTGTAAGGTCCCATCTCAGAAGTTCCATTTTTATTCAGTCGGTTTTGATTGGAATATTAGGGGGAGGCTTCGAAATCCCGTTTTTGGCAACGTTTTTTTTGGTTATAGATCTAGTATGATACTTTAGAAGTGACATCACCCACCCCTAAAAATGTATTTTAGGGGGGGGAGAGGTTAGGTAAAAAAAATACATTTACCGTTCTCCAAGAATTTGATTCCCCAGGACCCCCCCTAAATACATTATTTGACCGGTGGGTGTACGTTAAATGTAGGATCCATGGGTCGGGATATCCAACCCCCACCAGGATCTTTTATTTTGGGGGGGTGGTTTAATACATTTTACGGGTTTGGTTTTTCCAGGATCCCCGGGAATGTTTAATTTTTTCTGGGGAATACCCTTCTTTGAAAAATGTATTTTAAGGGGGTTGGGTAGCCGAAAAGCACATCATTTTTGGAAAATGGAGGGAATAGATCTGGCTAAGGTAGTCATTGGTACCCCCTGCAATGCATACATTTCATAATATTTAAGATCAAGTATATTTCAGCATCCCCCTTGGAATTTCCTCTACAGAATCGGGAACGTTAGGTCCTGGAAAATGGTGCATTTTAACCCCCTGACTTAATAAGGGGTACCTACCCAGTGCCAACGCTTTCAATTTTATAGAGGACCTTGGGGCCTTTGATTCTATAGAGATTTCACTGCGATTCTACAGTGGGATATGTTCTCTTTGGATGTATGTCATGTTCTTCAATTTTATAGAGAAGTATTGGCAGAACCAATTTCCCACAACAATTCTTTGAGCATCCTTGATCATCCTTGATCATCCTTGTATATTTTGGAATCATTTGGAATCTTGACATATTTTTGGAGACTTTTGGATACTTTTGGGATATATTGGAGATTTGTTGGAGATCTATCATCAGGGTTTCATCAGTTATCATCAGTTATATTCAGCAAACATGTACAATTTTGACATTTCAATATCTTACAAAAGCAGCTTTTTCTTGTTTACAAACTATAAAAGTGCCATTTTTCATTTTGCATCATTTTCCCGTTGTGTCTCCGCGTTGTGTCTCCCCGTTGTGTCTCACCGTTTTTGGGTCGAAGTCCTCGAGCCAGCCTTTCCGCCTTTCCGCTAAAAAAGAGCAAACGGATGGAAACAGAGCGACTTTCAAGATCTTTCAGGCATTTTTCACCAGTCTATGAAATTGAAGGGGTTGACAGTGAACACTTGGAGCCTTTGAACTCTATAAATTTGGGAGTGCATAAGGCAAGCTAGGCAAGAGTAACTGGAGCATTCAGGTCAGCTGTCAATGAAGGAGACTTGGGGAACCTGATTTTATAGAAGGCCAACTAACCCCCGCCAACCATCTACGAGAATGACTTGGCGGCATCGATTCGATAGAGATTGTCAACTTGAAAATACCTTGGGGTCTCTGATTCTATAGATGCATTTTCAGAAAGAGGGTCAGGGCCTCCCGGATTATCACTATAAAATTGTCAACACCAACACTCTCACTTAATTCAAAGGGGGATATTTCAGCCATTTTATGGCCCATGGGTTTCAGTAGGTTTCCCAGGAAAAAAAGATCAATTGGATTGAGGTGCAGACCCCCCCATGCTTGCATACATTTAGAAAAGTTTATGTATCCATTGGCTCTTGTCAGTGGTGCCCCCCACAAAGCATACATTTTCAGGTTCAATGCCCCTACCAATAATACATTTCCAGCATCTGGCACTCATACATGCCTCATTTTGAGGGGTTACCCCCCCCCTAGTTCCCATACATGTTTGGCAAAAAGTGAGGGGGTTAACCCCCCCTTATGTTCATACATTATCAGAAATGTAAGATCTACACCCCCTACTCCTGAACCAGTTGGGGTCGGGGATGAAGTGACTTAATCAAATTTGAAACCAATTTATTTATTTATTTTATTTTTATTTATTTATTTATTTTATTTATTTATTTTAATTAGCGTTTTCACTGGAATATTAACGGCGCCGCAATACAAAATACACCCGAGTTATATAAAATTTAATCATTGCGTTTACAATTTCAGGGGGTGGTGTTTCAGTAATAGGGACAAAGGATGTGAGAGAGGATTAAAACTGTGGAAGGCAAACTGTACGGGCCACAGCGTTGAACACAACAACCTAGCTGAAACCCATCGACTTATTCAAACGGATTTTTTTTTGCAGACGTGTTCGCTGCCGCGGGTTGTGTTTGTTCGATTTAATAGTGTGAAATTGTGTGCTGACAACCTTTGGGCCCGAAGGCTGGTGCATTTAATGCTAAACTGTCAAACAGTTGATTGGGACTTCCACACCCCATGCGTTTTTATCATAATTAAAGAAGGATTGTGAGTTTGCAAACAAAGAATGTATTTGGCGAACGGTTGAAAATGGAACAGGCATGCTCCAACGGAAACAGGTGGATAGAATTAAAATTTTGGGCTCTTTGAACCTTTTTTTTTTTAAAGTAAATCCATGGTTTAGATGATTTCATGTCCTGGGTGTTTCGAACCCACGCCCGGCGTAGTTTCAAAAAAAGGAAAAATGCATCGCAACTGTCACAAAAAATTGTTTCACACCGCCCTTGCCGTGCCCCATGGCCAATGAGTGGTTTTCAAGTTGGTTACAGGGTCCGGGTTCTACGCGGTCGTCGATTCAGCGATTTCAAAGAGCGTCGCTCGGATGATATCTTTTTAAGCGGTGTGACTTCGAATGGTTTTGACACCGAGTGTACAACAGTTTTGTGGATAGTGGTGGCGATTATTTGAAATTTGTACGGTTTCAGTTTCACGGTTCATTTGTTGAAACAAAGTTTGTTTTGCATGTGGGTTGTTTACTAAAAGGGGATGCAAAGGAGTGACACTCTCGACAGTATGCTCAACCCATGCTCGGGTGATCGTCTTGTTCTTCTACAAACCCGGGGTTTGCCATTGTCAGTAACCCCAATACCGATATGCACCGCGAAACAGTGGCCGTTGGTTTCACATTGTCCGAAATCTTCTGCAACCTAAGATGGGCATCCCCAAGCGACAGAAACAGTTGGGAAGTTGGAACCCACCTGCTATAGAGATGTGTTGAGACTGGTAGGAATGTGGTGGCTCATGCAAGTGGTGATTTCACATTGCCTTATTGGCAAGGCTAAACGGCCACCATCACGTTTGAACATGTTTGAAGCATGCTTTTCGGATGGATTACGGTTGCAATGTCGGTATTCCGGCCGAAAAGTATCAGTTGTTTGGGACGGCTGTTGCGGAATGCCGAGGAGATGAAGGTGTGATCCTGGACATCAACGAGGAGTGTCGGAATTGCCGCTTGCTGTCAAAAGAGCGGCAATGCCAAATGTGCTACGAATTCAGTTGGCCACACAAGACCGTTTTCCCCGTACCTTTTATAATATACAAACAACAGTTGTCCAATTTTTTGATGTATAAGAAATTGTAACATATATTAATAAATGTTAATATGTATATATTTATATATTTTCTACATCTATTTGCAGTATGAACATATACGTGCAGATACGTGAGTGTTGCATACTTATTCATCGTTTTTGGATCAAATGATGAAACACATTTGTGTCGGTCACGGGATTTTTTCGATAACATTATTAGGAGGTTAAAACAAGGTAGTATATACACATATGTATTTATGTATGCACACATACTCATACATGTATAGTGTTAATTTTCGCCCAGGATGTAGGTAGAGGTTTGGATTTCATTTTCCGAGTAAACATTGGTACAAAAATACCATATGGATGTTTTTAAATTATGAATAAAATGTTTTTTGTTAATATGTCATATGATATTGCATATCAAGGAAAATAACAATTTGAAAAATAACGCGCAGGTTTAGACTGATACATACAACAAATACATACATAGATGAAGAAGCAAACGTTTTGTCAGGCATCAACATGCGTAATTATCTGAAGAAGGGTTTCCCTACCAAATTGTAATTTCTTTCGTGTGTGGAACTGCACAGTGGCTTGGAAGGCACGGTGGTGTTCGATGGACGGCCAGAAAAGATTCAGGCGGCAAAACTGAGGTTAGTGGGTAGGCACCCATTTTGTCAGTTTACTTCAGTCATGCTGGGTGTTTTTTTTGAAATATCTGAAAAACACGCGTCTTGGGGCAACCCACCAAGCATCTCTATTTGCAATTCTTGATGCTAATCTCCAACCTTTTCAGGCGTGTCCGTGTCCGAGTGGACCTCTCCAACCCTGTGGAGGTAGCATTGAAGCATTTGCGGGTGATTGGGCAGAGCACCAACGGAGGCAATGGTGCGGATGCAGGCTGGATATTGCCATGGTTTCGAACAGAACTATTGTAGATCTCATAAAATCTCATGCATATTATACCTCTTTGGGTTGATGGAAGCGAACATCGCATCGGAAAATCTGGTGCACCCAAGCGTTCTTACCCAAACGTTGCGTTTTCCTGCAAACGTTGTGCCATTTCAACACGCATTGTTGCCCAATGATCGTTCACCCCAGCCAGACCCGAACATGGATGGGAACAGGGCAAATGCCAAACATGGAACCTTATAAATGCATGGCCAGTTACCAAACATGATTACTTTGCCCTTGGTGGACAAATGGGTGTTCCATGTTTGGCCGATGCCTAACACATTGCTTCATGTCTATTTCCCCTTGCAGCCTGCAGCGCAAACTTTGCCAAAGGTGCTCGTTCCCAGAAGGTCGTGGCAAAGCAGATCGCGGAAGAGATGCGACACTCAGTTGGGACAATTTTTCCCGTCAAACCGGAAAAGGCGTTTGAAACCATTTGGTGGATCACCCCAGTTAGTCAGTCAATGGTTCATGTAACTATTTTTAGCATTTTTGAACTGGTGTTACAAGTGGGAGCAAACCACCAAGGAGCAAACAGGACGGATTATGGTTGGTTGAGCTACTATATGACTAGGGTATGATTGTCAACAACATTGTGATGTTCTGACCTGGCACCAAAGTGGTTGCATCCCAGACCATGCCTGGATGTGGCGTTTGGCATTCCTTGCTTCTTGCAGCTCTAATCCATTTGGTTGGGAGCAGTAACTTGCAAGATGTATTTTTTTTGGTTCCCATCGGGTCCAAATCATGCGTGCAATCCTGCCCAGATCATGCAAAGAGTGTGTGGTTCCATTTCATGTCGAGGTTGCTGGGTTGGGACAAAGCGATTGTGACCAGATTCTCATATTGTTCTCAATTCTGGGCATGGATGTGGAAACAAATGTTTAGTTTTACGCGGGGCAGACATGAAAACTGTGAGTCATCCTGCTATGCGCATGATTTTTTTTGGGTACATCTTGGAAATGGTATTGCCAATGCGGACGTATGTCGTAAACATTTACAGAAGATATTTTTAAAAACGGATAAAATCAGTTTATTAAGGAATGTATACAGGGTTGAACATCAGCCCCCGCCATTCGTTTGAACAATGCGAGCGCAACCGCACAAGGGCTCGTTGACCTTCCGGCTGTGCAGGTTTGGATTCGGTCTCCCAGTGGGGCTGATGTGGTTCATTATTTTCAACACCCCAAGAAAGATAGAAATGTAAGATATCCAACTAAAGAGGTGATGAATCATCATGAATCACGTATCGTCTTGGCTATATAATTTTGTTGGGGTGTTTTTTTTCTTCTAGCCAGTAGGTACTTGTAGAATGCAAATACGATCGGTCTCTCCTGATTTTCCAAGATGAGGATTACCTGCATTCATTTTTTGGCCGTGGGATTGTGACGAACGAATCAGGCGATTGTTTTTGAAAAATGCCCATTGACAGAGGAGAGATAGGTGAGCAACCCGTGTTTTAGAGTGTAACCACCAGCCCATTTGCAATGCCCTATTGTCAGAGCATGTCAACGCCAATAAATTGATGAAGGCACCTGACTAGTCCAGAATGTCCTGTACATGGGATGATGGGGATACATGCTGCTCAGTTTAACGTGGCCAGTTGTTCGAAGTCAGTCAGTTGTGGTAGGACCGCTGGGATTCGTGGCAAAAAGTTTCTTCCCACTGGCATTCCTGCCTAGAAGCCTTGGTTTACATATGTAATTTTTATTTTTTTTCAGCCACATTTGCGAAAATGTTCTGACATGTTCTGACGATGTTTTTTGGGGAGGCCTGGTCTGGTTTCGTATTTGAACCTTTCACTATCAACGCTAAAATCATCACTAACCAGCTAAAAATTAGCTTTTTTTTTTTTTCTGACAGGTATCTAAAACTCAGCATCTGGTATGCACCGAACTGAAGCCCCGCCAAAACCGCCATGGAACTTCCCCGTTTCCACAGGCCTTGGACTCAGAACTGCAGGCGCGACACCTCGGCCTTCCCGGACCACGTGTTTCGTCCCAAAAATGATAGATCACTTAGACTTAGCAGTACTATTTGAAATCATCATATTTATGGATATATAGCTATATATATATATATATTTGTATGTATATACCCTTTGTACAGTATACATGTAGAATTGATATAAGCTACTTTTTGACCTCGTTTGGTACCTCGTCTTGACCTCGTCTTGACCTCGTTTTGACCTCGTTCGGAACTTGTGATAGAAATTTACTTAGGTGCTCAGTTCTACTCTCTTTCTAAAATCATGGGCCATTGGGTTGTGTTACCAAAGCATGTATGAATCATGTGTTCACATGCAGGGTGCAGGCATCGGGTGAACGAAAATCATATCAAAAACCCATGCACATGGAGAAGGAAAGTCTTTGGTGGACACTGGGGGCTGAAGAATCCTGAGGATAGCGTCTCCAATATGTGTTAGAGTTTTAGAGCCTCCAGAGCACTTTCAACCCTACAAAAATGATTTGATTTTGATTGGATTTATAGACTTCAAAGAGTACGACAATACCCCTACTTATCAAGCGGCTTCATGGTGAGCTACATGAGAAACACATACCAAAAACATATACCATGAAATGGAATCCCATGCTGACTTGATCAAAAAAGTAGAATATGAGCCTCTCAGTGGAAGCGGCGTGCACATGGAGAAAGGCATTGCCATCTGGATGCACCCTAAAAATTGGTTTATATATTTATCATTTTCAGCACTGACCTGTGCTTGGCGATGCAGTTCCGGATAGAAGTGGATTTCCAACCAGAGTTAATTTTGTGGCTCCATATCCCAAAATAGCTCCGTTTATGGTGGTACTTACAATCGCAGAAAAACAAATCCCAACCAAGGCCTACCAACGGTCTCTAAACTTAAAATCGAGGTTTCTGAGGGTCGAGCTGTTGATTTTGTTCTGGTTTTATTATGGGTACGCGTGATTGGTTGGTTGTTTGTTGTGTTTTTCCCCCCTTTCTGGGACAGTTTTGTAATTCACCCCGAGACATGCCATAATCCCATGCAACCTTCAATGGCAATGCTGCGGAACATGTTTCCATGGAAAGCTGGGATGCAGGTTTCCCATTGGCAGACCCGAACGGAAGCCACGAAGATCTCCACGAAATCTTTGTGATGTTTGTTTTTTTTTGCCAAGAGCCAGCTAGGACCAACCAATGGCTGCCATATTTTCCACGGGATGTTTTTTTTGGTTCAAGGCCCTTCGGTAAGTTGCTTGCCATCATATGGCCAGGGGCTGCGAAATGCCCTTCAGAGTGCACAGAAAAAACTGACAAGTTACGAGGCCAGAGATGAGAAGCAGGCGCTGCCGGGAAACTGGTGGATAAGTTGGCAATGGAAGATTTTGCAAAGATATATGCAATGTTTGATTTGGAGGACATGTTCTTTTGGCTTTGGTATTCCCAAGAGAGCAGGATAAGATTGAAACCAACAGCCAAATTGAGCATGCACGCCCCAAATGAACGCCCCAAATGAATTGGGCGGTACAAATCCTATATATCAAATCGCCACCTTAGGTATTGTTTGATTAATCGATTGGGTCTATTGATGTTTCCACGTGTAAGCATGTGTAAGCACACCATGAATCAGGTTCCATTCGTAATTACAGAATATTACAGACCCTTCCACGTGGTGGGCGGATGCCATCAATGGCAGGCACCCAGACGGCCCAAACAATATTTACCACATTTTCCAAACGGTTCGTGTGCTGGAGCCCCACGGCCAAGTCCAGCGCCTGGTGCTTCCTGGTGCTTCGCTGTAAGGCGCAGGAGATCTTGCAACTGACCAGGGAGCTGAGCAGTGTGAAAGAGGAGGAGCTTTGTGAGGCTGGTTGATTATCCCAATTTGATATTGGTGAGGAACCACCGCAAATACGGGAAGGATATGAACGGCAATGTAATCAACAAGGGTTGCGCATCAAAGTGTGAGCAGCAACCGCCAGCAAGGGGCCCCAGTGAAAGGCTGGCAGGCGCAGTGCACTTGTCAGGCACTGTCCGGAACTTTCGAAGGACCACTGCAAAAATCGATGGTTTGTTGTTTTTCCTTCGCTCTTTCTTTCTTTCTTTCTTTCTCTCTTTCTTTCTTTTTTTCTTTCTTTCTTTTGTTCTTTTCTTTCTTTTCTTTCTTTTCTTTCTTTTCTTTCTTTTCTTTTCTTTCTTTCTTTTCTTTCTTTCTTTCTTCATTTGCTTGCTTGCCTATTTGTATCTGGGTGTTTGCGCCTTGCCTTGCAATGTATATATATATATATATATATATGTATAAATATATATATATATATATATGTGTGTGTGTGTGTAAAACATGTCGGTAGAATTAAGAGAGCACACATACCTTGTGTCAGCAGTGGGGCTGGAACCGATTTGTTTATCCAACCTGCGAACGCAGCTATGGCATGTTGTTTGAAGAGTACTGCTGTAGTTTGTTTGTTTGTGGTTGTGGCGATGTCTGGCTTTGGTTCCTCAATCGTAGTGGGTTTCAAGCGGGATATGGTTTGGCTCAGGCCTCTCCAAGGGCCTTGCTGGGTTGCATTTCTTGATTTTGGGTTTTGACATATGGCCATGGGTGGTTTCATTTGGTAACCCCAGAAGTGGTTGTTTGAATCTCACCTTCTGATACCCAAAGGTCAATCTTTTGCATGGGGTAGCCATCTTCACCCCCTTAGAAATAAAACAACAATCATCAATCAGCCCCTTGTCAGGTTCGGTGGTTGACAATCCTTGTTGAGCGACATACTGGGTGCTGGATGGCTTAGACTCCCAAGCCTTCTTGGGGCGACCCGCGGCCAGCCAGCAGGAGTTGCAAGCCGATTTGGCCGTGGCACGTGCAGAGGCTGGCTTCACCATGATGTATATGGCCGAGATAGGTGGAGAAATTCACACCAATAGCCAGAGGTGAGGATAGACGCAGACGGAGATGCATACAGGAAGCGCACGGGCAGACAAAAAAAAAACGTGTTTGATGGCTGAATCACAATTTCTAAGGTTCATTTCAATCCCAACTGTTTGTGTTTTAAATCCGTTGAATCCAATCTGTAGATATTTTCAACCAGATCACGGCCCAATCCCAGGCAGCTTCTCAGGAGATGATGGCTCAGGTGGCTTTACATCGCCAGGAGTTGGCTGAGGAGAATGGCTGAGGGTTTCCATATGGCTGGTACCCCCAAATGGATGGCTTGTAATGGAAAATCCTTTAGAAAAATTGATGACTTGGGGGTACAGTGTGCAGTACCACCTATTTTAGGACGAAACCTCCATTTGTTCACCTGCCAACATGCGATGTTTCGTTTGAACACTTCAGATCTAAGCAACCACACATGCAGACCTAAGCTCCGGCAAATTGGGATTTAACAATCAGACGTTTGGACTTAACCACAATTCATCCAAATTTAGATTTTACAATTAAAAAAAACATGTGGATCGAAGAATCAACATGAAGAATTCACAAGGAATGGTGATCCAATCAACATTTGGGATATATCATCTGATATAAGCAGCCAACATAGGGGGGTGAATCGGCAAGGGATTGGGATCACATGAGAAAATAAGGATTTGATTAACTATCAACAATGTGCTTGTAGAAAACAGAAGTGGTGACACAACAACCAAAGATAACCAAACTAATTTCTAAAACAATCTTTACAAATCTTTATAGATAAGTTTAAAGCTGCGAAGGGTTCCTGATTTCTGAGGTGATTCCAGTTTAAGAACAGGAAATTAGCCATACTTGTTAACGAGTTAGGAATCCTGCGATGATGCTCGAATTAGGGGAATTTCCCCTGTTGAACTTCTACGAAATGGATCTATCCATTTTTCAAGTGGGGTGGTCATCCACTGGCCTAGCGGCTGTTTCCATCACCAATTTACAGTTTTCATGCCGAAGAGGGCGCAAGGGTTGCTATTGCAACATGGTTGTTACTGAGTTTGGCCCCGAAAAAACCATGCATTTTCCAGCTTATGTTGCAAGAAGAAATCTAACCCCAAGCAGTCCCAAGGAAAACATCGGTCCTTGGATCCACTCAGAGGGCCATTTTTGATACAGGGGCTCGGCCACAAACCAGAGCCAGGAGCAAAGGTTGACGGCATTTTTGCGACAACAGCTGGAGGCAGGCAACAAAACATTGGGCAAAACGGAATTTGACGGGTGGGAGTGTGTGACAACTTGATTTGCTAGTACATCATGTGCATCAATATATATATATATATATACATATATTTACAATATCATGTATTCATGTATCGTTTATCGATGGATATCGCCAAAAACGGGGACAGCAAGAACATGGTGACATTTCGAGCAGCACATTGCAAGGACGTACCGCAACAGGAGGCCGGACGCAAGTGCTGTGAGAGGTACGTTTTAGCACTGAGAAAATCACTGGAGAGTTGGCAGCAACCATCCTGGCATTTGGATATGTTGAGGCCCCCCCAGTCATGAGTTGGGCTATGAACCAATTAACTATAGTTGTACCCCCTAACAAACCCAAGTTCCCCAGGTTATATGTGTGTCAACTTAGCTATGGATCCCCTGCACCTGGCTATCGGCGAATGGGATTGAAGGCGAAGATACTGAAAGAGCTGGAGCTTCTACGATCCTTGGCGCTCGCCAGGCACTACGGATAGTTTTTTCTTCCCCACAGGCACGGGACTATGAGTGGATGAGGATGATGATGATGATGATGATGATGATGCTGGTGGTGGTGGTGGTGATGGTGATGGTGATGGTGATGGTGATGATATTATGATGATGTTGTTGATGATGATGTTGTTGATGATGATGATGATGTTGGTGATGGTGATGGAGATGTATGATCATGTTATTTAGAAGGGTGATGGTTGTCACTACCACCAACGCCTCATGCAGGTCTCCCCACCATCAACGTCAGCCGCTCAGGAAGCGAATATCAGGCACTGGCGGCCAAAGATAGCAGCCAAGCCTGGAAAAGCGAGGCGCCGGTCAAGCCGGTGCGGGGAGAGATACACCAAGCCACAGACTTCATTATGTAACACACGCTTTCTCACATTAACGCATTTAAGTTGTGTAATAGTATATAAGATAGAGAACATACTTTGGAGGTGTTTTCTTTCTGGACCAATTTATGGGAACTTGGCTGGATGATTAACTTGCAAACGGAACCATTTCTGAACGTTTTTTTGGCTGACATTTGTCACGGATTTTTCGGTGATGCTGCACAGGCAGCAGCCTGCGAAACGCTGAGTGCTGAAATGGCGGCAGAGCAGGCATCTTTTGTGAATCCCATCCCCTTAACATGATGAATAGGGTCAGTACTAAACCAAGGGTTTCAAGTTTGTGTTTTAGATAGAAGGACATATGAAACATATTGAATAACTTTCAATTCACACGCACATCATATGTATATAGATATATATATATATATATATATCAGGAACCATCACCAATTTTTTCACATTTTGGTTCGGAAATATGAAGTCGTGGAGTTGTCAACTTCCAGGCTCGCCATGAACTGGAGCTCGTGCAGACCGCGGAAGGCCGAGGGTGCAACCGATAGCTACCAGGGAACAATCAGATATGGGCAAAAGTGGGAGGAAGGATTCAACCGTCAGAAAAAGTATGTCTTTCTGAGCAACATAATTAGAACTTGTTCTTCAAATTTCGTCAAAATGTTTGTTTTTTTATTGGACACAACTTTTGTTGATTCTTTGTTAAATCTGCTGTTTCATGGGGTGAAAATTGGGATGCGATCAACAAGAGTTGGGATGCTAATCCTACGCGACATACGCAACAAAGATAGAGACATCACCCGGCACGAAGTGGGCACTGCCGCACAACCAGCAAACGACCAAAGTTCTGTTCCCGTCCTTGTCTCGTCTCATGTCTGTGATAAAGACCATTGGGGAATGGCAGACCACTTATTCTTGTCATCCTGTTTTGCTAGGGACCAGGGCCATGTTTCACAGTCGGCCGACGGACGGCAAGAGGTTTGACACCAGCTATCCTTTGACTGGTGAAGTTGCACTCGCATTTATGGTGGCAAAATCTATGGAACAGATGGTTCCAGCATCCAATGTTCATGTTTTCACAGCTTTGGTTTTGGGACTGGTCACCAGTGGTGAATGCATGTGCTTGACCGACTTGTTGTCTATTAATGAAAACCAATGGTAAACCGTTTCGGGATGGTGTGTACCATCCATTTATCGTCATTTTCGGGATGGTTTGTAATTGGGTTTACCACAAAAAATGTCTTATCGGCAGCGTCAATGCTTGGAAAGATGATACGCAGCCAAAGGAGTTCGCTGCCGCTATCTTAGCTGGGGTAGAGCCTTGGAATGTGGGGTGAAAGCATTTAACATCTCAGTGAATACCCTCTGGTAATTTAACATAGCTATTGAAAATGGCCATTTATAGTGAGTTTTCCCATTCAAAATGGGTGGATCTTTCCATAGTTATGTTAGTTTACCAGAGGGTAAAACATGGTAAAACCACCATTTTCCCATGGTTTTCCTATGATTTCCCATAAAACCACCATTTTCTCAGCATCTTCAGCACGGCTTGCCGCCGATGCCAGGCGGCTTGCCGGAGATCCACAGTTCGGAGGTGCAGAACGCAGTGTTCCAGGCCCGGTGAGCCCGGCCGCGTTTCGTGGTGAAAGTTGTGAATGTTTTAATCCACATTTTGGTTGGTTCATATACCTATAGCATATATATATATATATCTATATATATTATGTATATATATATATTTATATATATATATATATATCTATGCAGGAGTGGGGATACATGGCATATTCATGTATATTCTTGGTCCATAGAATTTGAGAAAGACCAACATGTACTTCTATGCTGTGGCAACTTGTTGATCAGAACATGTTTTTCTATCTTGTGGGTTTCTTTAGTCGCCAGCCACTTTCCGTGTCGGACAAATGCGGGAAACATCGTAAACTCTATGGAAAGTCAATGGAAATCATACATTTTCCCACTGAAATGCCACGGTGTTTGCTGGAGGGGGCTGAGGATGCCCTGGATGATGACGGAAGAAGCGCCTTGGACTACGCCCGGGCGCAGCAGCAGGTGCCCCGTGAAGCGTTGCATCAGCAGATAGATCATATCCTCTTGCGCAATCACATAATGACGCTTTATATAAATACATTTAAGATACAATGATGGTGTGTATATATATATAGTATTTATTTGTACATACATGGATAGTAGATATTTTTCTGCAAGGTAGATCCCCCGTCCAGGAAGAAGTGATGAGGTTGCTGGACCCCAAGGTGCCGGTAAGGGATGGTAGGGCCAGCAAAAACAGCAGGTTTTAGTGATGGCTTAGTTGTGTATGTATGATATATTCTTATATCATATATATAATGACATAACGCGATACATACATACATACATACATACATACATAGATACATACATACATACATAGATACATAGATACATAGATACATAGATACATACATACATAGATACATAGATACATAGATACATAGATACATAGATACAGACCAGACCAGACCAGACCAGACCATACCATACCATACATACGTACATACATATATATATATATATGTTATAGTGTAAATTAGTACAATGTATGTTCATACAGTCATACATGCCTATGTTCTTGTTTTCAACATAGCACGTAGAGATAGATGAAAACATGGATTTAGACATGCTGATATGTTCTAGATGTGCATAGCGGGCGAGATGCACGTTTGTTTGAGATACTCCTCACATCGCAATGTTTTAGATGATGACAGCCACGTGTATGGACCATGGGAAATCATCCCAAACTTCGCCTTGCAAGTTTGGCAATTACTACGACGGCATCCAGCCTAGGTGCCATTAAGGCCATGCATTCTCATGTAAGACATGGCAACTATATGGATCTATATGGCATAATTGCCCACTTGTTCCACTTGTTCACTGTGCATATCCTGAATTGATCAAAGTTCGGACACCCTGTTGGCCCAAAAGATGTGAGAGTTGGGCCCAGCAAGGCCTGAAAACCCTTCCTGCCAGCCATATCAAGCCGGCTCAAAGTGACCGACATCGGTCGCGCCGGTATCGGGTGGCATGTTTTTCGTGAAATACCTGGACCAGAAACAGGTGAGGCACTGGAACCGTTCAAGTTAGTTGGCCTGGAGGTTTTTACTTTCATGTGGCGTTCATTTGGCAAGTAATTAGGCTAAATCTCGCGCGTCCTATTGCAGTTTTCAGTACCACATTTTGTGTGATCAACTTTCATGGGGTTACTGTATATAAGGTCCATCTTGTCAAGCAAAATGGTTCATTTGCAATGGTTTATGATCGGTCACAAGGAATGATGTTCCAATTTCTAAGCAGTGGATCTGCACCTTAGAAGCATCCACAAGGTGGTTAAACCGCATCGTAAGATGCTTCCATTTTTTTGAAGGTTTACAACAATCGAAATGCATCCAAATGATTAGTTCGTGTCAGTTCATAGGTGGAATGGATACTGTATAATATGTATATATAAACAGTTGAGACAATCACGGATACGGAATGATGATCTTTAATCAACTGAATACTAACCTTTTCGTACATCACAATTGATCTCTCTCTCTCTCTATAATATATATATATATGATATTGAATATATTAGTGATTTGAAAATTGCCATTATTAAATAAGTCCCAACAAATAGTATGAGAGAGATATCACTATATGACTATATATATATATGTATATCAGTTAACAGTTATATATTTGAAAACCCCAACATATATACATATATATATATATATATATAGTTGGCTATCATACTATGATATCAGTGACCATGTTGCAACCCCATCCCAGGGCGAGGCGCGAGTGGTAGATCAGAACCAGCTGATTCGGCAGCGCCTCAGTGCCTTCCTCGAACGGCGGCCCAGCTGGGAGCAGCTCATTGAGTTGGGGATCCTGGGGCGCCAGGACGTGCCGCTGCTGGCGGTCAGAGATGGAGGTTTTTATCATGGCATAGAGACAATAGAGATTGATTTTTTTTTAATCTTTTTGGGAATCCATTGTGGTAACTTTTGTTCATTTTGATCTTTTTGGGAATCCATTGTGGTAACTTTTGTTCATGACTATCTGATGTAATTTAATGACTTTGACATTTGAAGAAATGGCAGGAAACATGGTGAAATGATCTGAAGTTTGCGGAATCAAGTGGAGATGGGTTTCGTCCAGTAAAAAGAGCTGGACTGGGGCAACAGCATGGACATTTCACCAGGAAAAATGCTGACCACGAGGAAAGACAGCTGGGGAAACTTCATCGAGGGAACTGAGGATTGAATCACCAAAATGGGGAACAGCATCACCGATTCACTGCAGCAAACTATACAAATAATATAATATGATATTCAGCAACACATTGCAATACTTGATAAGTATAGGACTGACATTCCTATCATATGGGTAAAGTAATGTCCAGTAATAATCAGTAATAAATATAGTAACTTCCGACAAGATAAAAGTTCGTAAAACTTGACTCAACAAAAAGTGAATATGATTTCTTGTCTACATCATTTTGGGTCTTATGATATAAATCTAATGTGGTAAACCCAATAATCAACCGTCCCCATAAGCCATCCCCAGACATGGTAGGTTTCTCATTACGTTCACCGCATGAGTTTTCTTTGATTGACTATCATTAGATTCCATTGCTATCCCATGAATATCCCATTAAATATCATTAAATCACTATTAAAAGACAATAATATTTGACAATATTTCTTGGTGTTATCAAGTTATATCCCCAAGTAAACCCGTAAGATCACCAGTATATGTCATGAATAACTGCCATCAGGTGCCGCCACGCCTCCGCCAGGAGCGCTTTGGCCTGGCACAACAGGTGGTGGACGAACTGCTGCGGAGCCGCTTGAAGGCTCAGGAGGAGGACCTCCAAAACAGCTGAAAAAATGGGGTGAAGACCTCCCAAAAATTAGAGAATACCTCCAAACAAATTAGGAAGATCTCCAAAAAATGGGGGGAGACCCACAAGAATTGGGGGAGACCCCTTAAAATTACCGATAAACACCGGGGAGAATGCGGGGTTGGTTGGGGTACCTCAGACATAGCCGTAGCTTTATTTGGTGGTGAACCTTGGGTCATCCCATCCCTAAGCGTCACCTACCCTTGGAGCAAAAGTGGATCACGTTGAAACTTTCCCGTGGCTGATGTGGCACTTTTCCAGCTCCACCCTCTCTTGGGGGTGCAGTTGGGCCTACTATATAGTGATTTCATGGGTGTAACCATGATAGTAACCCCCTATAAGTTGTGATATGGTCCCTATAACTGTGGATTTACATCCACTTAGTTCACCGGAACCGCTAAGGCCATCCCTGTGACCCTGGGGATGGGAGGCCCCGGGAGCGTAGGAGTTGGCCCGGCCTCCTGCCGGAGAGCGGAGCTACAGCGCGCAGATGCTGCAGCAGTTACAGCCCAGCGGAGAGAGGTGGCAGGCGCAGCTGCAGAGGCTGAAGCAGCTGCATCAGATGAAGCAGCAGGAGATGAAGGTGGGCATGACATAGAAAAAGCGGAACGTGTCTCTGAAGGTTGAAGGGATGCGTACTCAGTCTTTTTAGATTCACCATATATAGATAGAGATAGAATCATAGATAGATTCATAGATAATTAGATAGATTAATTAGATAGATTAATTAGATAGATTAATTAGATAGATTAATTAGATAGATTAATTAGATAGATTAATTAGATAGATTAATTAGATAGATTAATTAGATTAATTAGATAGATTAATTAGATAGATTAATTAGATAGATTAATTAGATAGATTAATTAGATAGATTAATTAGATAGATTAATTAGATAGATTAATTAGATAGATTAATTAGATAGATTAATTAGATAGATTAATTAGATAGATAGATAGATAGATTAGATAAATTAGATAGATTAGATAGATTAGATAGATTAGATAGATTAGATAGATTAGATAGATTAGATAGATTAGATAGATTCAGATAGATTAGATAGATTAGATAGATTAGATAGATTAGATCGAAAGAAAGAAAGAAAGATAGATAGATAGATAGAGAGATAGAGAGATAGATAGATAGATAGATAGATAGATAGATAGAGAGAGATAGAGAGAGAGAGAGAGAGATAGATAGATAGATAGAGAGATAGAGAGATAGAGAGATAGAGAGAGAGAGGGAGATAGATAGATAGATAGATAGATAGATAGATAGATAGATAGATAGATAGATAGATAGATAGATAGATAGATAGATAGATAGATAGATAGAGAGATAGATAGATAGAGAGATAGAGATAGAGAGATAGAGAGATAGATAGATATAGATAGATAGAGATAGATAGAGATAGATAGAGATAGATAGAGATAGATAGAGATAGAAGATAAAGATAGAAGATAGAGATAGATGATAGAGATAGATGATAGAGATAGATGATAGAGATAGATGATAGAGATAGATGATAGAAATAGATGATAGAGATAGATGATAGAGATAGATGATAGAGATAGATGATAGAGATAGATGATAGAGATAGATGATAGATATAGATGATAGAAACAGATGATAGAGATAAATGATAGAGATAGATGATAGAGATAGATGATAGATAGATGATAGAGATAGATGGTAGAGATAGATGATAGATATAGATGATACAGATGGATGATACAGATGGATGATACAGATGGATGATGCAGATGGATGATACGGATGGATGATACAGATAGATGATACAGATAGATGATACAGATAGATGATACAGATAGATGATACAGATAGATGATACAGATAGATATAGACAGATACAGATAGATGCAGATAGATACAGATAGATGCAGATAGATACAGATAGATACATATAGATACAGATGCAGCAGATAGATACAGATACAGTAGATAGATAAATATAGATATAGATATATATATAGATATAGATACGTATATTTAAAGACTAGATAGATATTTACACACACACACTCTCACACAAATATATACTTATTTAGATTTAGATTTAGAGAGAGAGAGAGAGCGAGAGAGAGAGAGAGAGAGAGGGAGATGATGAGATGACGAGACTAGAGAGGGGAGGAGGGAGGGAGGAGAGAGAGGAGAGAGAGGGAGGCGTCGCCAATTCAGATCGCACACGAGGCCGAGAGAGAGGGGAGACGAGGCGATCCGCCCGATTCCGTTCGAGCGCGATTGGACGAGGAGTCACCTGACCGAGGGACTGAACGTGGAGAGACGACGTCGCGAGTTGGAGGCTTGGGGTCATGAGTTGAGGGAGGGAGAGAGAGAGAGGAGAGAGAGGTGAGGGAGGGAGAGAGAAAGAGAGAGAGAAGAGAGAGAGAGAGAGAGAGAGAGAGAGAGAAAGAGGAGAGAGAAAGAGGAGAGAGAGAGAGAGAGAGGGAGGAGGGAGGAGGGAGTGAGGGAGAGAGGGCAGAGAGAGAGGAGGGGAGGGAGGGAGGGAGAGAGGGAGAGAGAGAGGGAGGGAGAGAGAGGGGGGGCAGTAAAAGATGGTTGGTATTATGATTGTGTTCTGATTGATTATGTGGGTGTCGGGTGTTACAGTTTTTAATTATTCGGCCTGATATGGGACGGTGATCCAAAGTGAATGCATATTGTCTGGTTTGGGTTGAAACCATCAGCCAGCATGCACTTTGGCCGAAATTCAGGAATAAGGAACCAAACTGGATATGGACGCAAACCACAATATTGGGCAAACCAAAAAGGTTACTTGGAAGTGCAGTTCCAGTTGTAATTATATACTGCCATAGTTATAGGGGTTATCTCCCAACTTAAAAATGCTGTTTGGTGTCGCTCGTCAGGCAACTGAAAAGAGGTGGCAGGAAGCAGCTGCGGAGTGTCAAAGGCGGCCCGGGTTGGCCCCCCGAGTTATAAGTTGGTTTATAAACCCCCTCAAGTATAGATGTCATATTTGCTATGATTACAGTAGACCCAAGTTGTCGGAATTGTAAACCAACTTAGCTAACTAACTATGGGGCACCACCTTGTGGGAATGGCTAAGTTAGTTGGGGTTCGTTTTGGCATTAAGGGGGTCCATATTCTTTTGCAGTATGTCACAATCTTCTTTTGGGTGTTTTTACTGGTCCCCAAATAAGAAACATAGAAATGAACGTACAAAACGAATGGTCAATGACAAACATAAAACATAGAAACCAATGGAACAATATATTGAACCAGTCGGAAAAATCATTCGCCCTGATTTTGAATGGGCACCTGAGCCCAATGGCTGAGCATGGCGTCACAGATTTGGCTGAGCACAGGCGGGATCTCCGGGTGAAGCCATTAGGTAATGACCCACACTGACCCACACATTTGGTTTTATTACTATAAGTTACTGGTAGACATGATCAATCAATCCATTTGTGGTTCTCAGGGCTTTCAATTCTGACGCAGACCCATTTGATGATTAAAAAACCCTTACGCAACATTTCCAGCATTTGTTAAGGCTATTTGGCATTTTCCAGTTTTTCTCCTAACATGTCGAACCCGCCTCAGAAATGCACAGTTTTCTGAAAAATGTTCCCTACTTGGAAGCGCAGTTCCAGTCATAAGTGGATAGATTTCACCATAGTTATAGAGGCCCCATATCCCAACTTAAAGGGGTTCACCAAATGCGAAACCTAGAAAGTGGAGATAGACCATATTTCTTATTATCCCAACTTATGGGGCGTACTAGCCATAGTCATAGGGTTCCAAACCAGTTATAACCATAAAAGTAACTTGAACTGCACCCCCTGCCAGGCAATCTTGCAGCCCTGCAGTGCCGCAGCTGGTGAAACGTCTTCAAGCTGCAGTGCAGCTCCTGTCCCAACACAGGGATCTGAAGCTGGGCGTGGGGGGGGCCGTTCTGTGCTTGATAAATGGGAAAGTCATCCGTACATATCCGTACATCATGGTGAAGGATGGTAGGTTTATAATAACTAACAATAATGGGAACATGTGGATAATTGATGAATTAACGGTTCATATTTGATATATACCCTGGCAGGTGTCATGAAACCTGGCGGGCCGCTGGGAAATCCCCAGTCATGGAGGTTAACATGACGCTTTTCCACCACCATGTTGGACTACTGGAGGGTAACTGCTAGTGTTTTTGATGGGATTTGAAGCTTTAACATCTTGCAAGATGTTGCAAGAGTTGCAAGAGATGCAAGATGTTGCAAGATGTTGCAAGATGTTGCAAGATGTTGCAAGTACAGAGTGAAACCAGGCGTAATTGGATGTAACTAGGAGTTGATTGGGGTATTAACTATGTATGTATGGATATGTTCGCATGTTTTGTCAACTGAGTGTGGGGGCAGCTTCTTCTCTCAAGCTGTATGGACAGGCCAGTCGCGGTAGGGTCGGCTAGCGGGATAGCTTCGACTCTGATCCTTTCGCTGCTTAGGAACCTTGTTCACGAGCAGGCCTTCGAACCGACTGGCTTGCAACTGCCCATACAGTGCCCTCAGTTTGAGCTTGCATTAGAAGACGTGCCTTGGTGGACCTTTTTAGCTGGACTAACCTGCGGTGTGCTGCTTGGACCTCTCATCGACCTGGTGAGCTTGGCCCGGTTGAAGTGGAGGCGCTTAGTAATTCGCGCATTCGCGCGAGAACAACGAGGTGGACCGAAGTTTCAACGTGAGACATCAAGACCACTTCACAAAGTTGTTGTATGAGCAGATCACCTGGACCAGCTGGGACAGAAAGTGAAAACGCTAGACTGCGGGAGGAGGTGAAGCTTCTGCGTGAGGAGTTGCGACACCTGACGCTGAGGGTTGACAGACAAGGAGATCAGTTGGACGAGCTGAGTGAGTCCGTTGTTGGGACTTCAGTCCGGTCTTTTGAGGTTGTGAGTTCTGGAGGAGCATCTTCAGTGCCTGCAGGGAACCTAACAGCTGGAAGTGCGACTAGTTTTGAGGCCGCCGATCCGGTTGGGCCTTATCCTTGGCCTTTGCGTGAGGCTGTGGCAAGAGACATTGGGGCATTTTTGAAGCGCTGCTTGGACGGTGAACACAGAGGAGAGTCTGGGCGAGATCGCATCAAGGGTCTGCAGAGCAGGGTGTACATTGTAGTCAGGGATTTTGACCGCAAAGTTTACAATCCTCCGTTGCTGCTGAAAACTTTTGGTGAGGTCAAAGGGTATTGCAAGAGAGACGGGAGCTGCGGTGATTCGATCTTCATCGGAGTCCCTTCCTATCACGAAGCATCAATCGCAGTGTCGGGAGCAGGGCTGTATTGGCCGTCTAGCTCTCGATGACTGAACCCAGCTTGGATGGTGAGCCCTTATCCGACCCGGGTGCTCACGGTGATTCAGAAGGGGCGGAACCAGTGGCTTTAGGGCCACGCGATTTTGTAGTGGCGCAAGAAGACGGCACGGCTGATTTCCTTTACCGAGTGGGAAGACTTCCCTTGCCTGAGCATGGGCTATTGACTGCAGTGGTTGCAGTTGCTGATATCGACGGAAAGCTGCTTGTTGCACTGCCAGAAGGTGTCTGGAACAGATCAGTTGCGAAGCGACTCCTACCTCAGAGGGCTATTGCAAAACCGCTTTTGTGCTCTGTGGCCGCTTGTCAGTCTGAAAAGCGGGAAGTTTTGGGCTTTGAAGCTGTGGATATCAAGGCATGGTTTGGTTTGCTGCATCCTGCGATGGAGGGAGATGTGGACTATGTGGGAGAGGACGAGATCCACTACCATTTCAGCCCGGAGGGCGAAGAGCCCCTCTTTCCTTACGGACCTGCCTTGGTCGAAGTTGCTCAGGCTCACTATTCCTTCAGCACTGCGGACGAGGGGATGCCCAAAGACGTTCCGGAATGTCCCCCGAATTTTACAGGGGTGTCAGAAGAACGCTTTCAGAAGCTAGAGTTGGCGCTGGAAGGGATGCAGAGAGGGCTTCAACAACTGCTTGGTGCACGAGTAGGGGCCTCTCCAAAGACCTTGGCTCGTCCTCTACCGCATCCACCTACGAACAAGGCACCCAAAAGCAATGCAGCGGGATCCCAGGAGATTGCGGGCCTGGAACCAGAGGTTGTTCAGTCAGCTTTGGCGGCGGGTATCCCTATGGCTCACTTGGAAGAGATGGGATCCATTTTGAAAGGGAAACCTCGGCGGATAGAAGAGCTGCCCCGGAAGAAGCCTGTCCGGAAACCAAAGCAAGGTCCTTTGAGCGAAAGCGAAGAAGAGGAGGATGTGGAGGTAGAAGAGGAAGGCCTTCCTTCCGGCGGATCTGGAGAGCAAGATGGTGCTGGGCCTCAGCGCAACATGGAGCGAGCAATAGTGAAACTCACTGCGATTGCCTCAAAGCTGGCGGGTCCCAAGGAGAAGCACAAGATCGACACCTTGTTGGACGGCGGCAGTGGTGGAGTCGCTGGAAGCGAGAGCAGCTCGATTGGTGCTGGAAGAAAGAATGCTGCAGCTATGCGAGCATTGCAGAAATGCCTGTTGGAAGATCCCAAATACATCTTTCAGATCATGGAGGCCAATTTGCAGAGCGATTTCCTTGCCCGGCCGATTCAGCCGGGAGAACCACTTGCCTCCGGCACCACTGTGAGGGGCTGGCTGAGTGCCCGCTCCAGGATTCAACTTTACCACAATCATGTCCGCTGGGCTTGGCAGGTTGGCGGAATTTGGGACTGTCTCATAGCTGGGAGAAACGAGGAGGCGAGAGCGAGGTGTGCCTTGCTGATTGGAGCGGCAGACCAGGCTTCAATAGATGGGGGCAACTGGGTAGTGTCAAATGTGGCCCTGCTGGAAGCTCCGCCTCCTTATCAGAGCTTTGCGACGCATCAGTCTCCATCGCCACTCGAGCTGCAGCACAGTGTCCTTTACGACCATCGCTGGGCGGAAACATTCCTGGGGCACCTGAAGGAGGTGGATTCGTTTGTGGACGCCAAGAAGAAACTTGGCTCCGGGAAGGGCTCTCAGAGAGACCAATCAGAGACTGGGAGCAACCAGCCCAAACCCAAGCCGAAGGCGAAGGCAAAAGAGAAGGGAGACAAAGGCCGAAAAGGGCAGGAGAGTTCCTCGCAGGAAGCGGGGGGAAGCAACCATGCCTAGCTTCCAGTATGATCCCCACTGGGTTGGCCGAAGCAGTTGGGGAGGATGCAGGTGATCGGCCTAATTCAATTCACGTCCCCGGAAGCAATGCCTCTACCTTCACTGGACGTGGTGTTTTGCAAGGATTATTGCGGCATCTTTTGAGAAGTCGGTGCCGCTTAGGTTCTTTTGCACGAAGTTTGCTTGCCTGGCAGTTTGCGCCTCCTACTGGGGAGGTGACGGGCTCTGCAGAACTCTTTCCTCTCCCTCTGCCGTACCCTGAGGTTTTTCAGAGTTCAATGGAACGTTTTGACAAACGCAACGCGCTGAAGAAAGGCACTGTGGCAATTGTCATAGGACTGAACTACCTCTTCTTGCACAGGTCCAAACATGTGGGCGATGCTTTTGGAGAGCGGAGGAAGCTGAATAGAAATCAGTGGGAGGCGGTTCGAAGAATCGAGAAGTTTTTGCAAGCCTGGATAGAAGTTTCACCAATAAGTCCTGAAGTCATGGGTCGGACGTCTGGAAAAGTTGAAAGCCTCGAAGAGATGCTGACCGAACTTCATGAGCATGCTCAGATTCTAGCGAAGTCTGGAACTGGGTATTTTCAGTCTCCACGAAAAACTGAGAAGCCTGGGCGACCAGTTCCCGTCCCGGCCTCAAAAGGCAAGCTGCTGACCACAGAGACCTTTTCCACCTTTAAGCAAGTCGAAGCCAGCAGGTTGACGTTTGTAGGGAAACCAGAGTTTGACCCTAGCCCATATTTAGATCCCATCAGCAGAAGGATCTTCAATGACCCCCTTGTGTGCAGGGAACCTCCTGAGTTTTGTTCAGAGCGACCTCCAAAGATGCGGGTGCATTGCAGCAGGAACCAGAAGATAAAGCTCTTTTCTCTGCTTGATGCTACGGACAGGTTGCGTGTCCACCTACCTCACGAAGTTTTCCCTCGCTATGGCTCTGGTTTGTTTGCAGTGCCGAAAGACCTAGAACGAGACAGGCTAATTCTTGACTCCAGAGGGGCGAACCTACTGGAGACTCCACCGCAGCGGTGGATTAAGAGTTTGGCTTCTGCAGAAACTTTGTGTAGGATCAGCTTGGAAGATGATGAGGTTTTAGCATGTTCTGGGAATGACCTTAAAGGACTTCTACTACCTTTTTAAAGCAACTCAGAGCCGGAGCCGACGCAATGTTTTGGTAGGACCTATGCACCCGCAAGAGCTGGTTGGTTTGCGAGCGCTGCGGCAAGAGCACCTGCAGTCGAAAGTCGTCTATGGGTCTCTGAATACTCTGGCCATGGGTGATTGCCAAGCAGTCGAGCTTGCTCAGAGCTGTCACCTTGGTTTAGTCCTCCAGAAAGGAATTGTCGACTCCGACAGCCTTACCACCATGTACAAGCCTGTACCAAGATCACGAACCATGGTGGGGTTGGTCATAGATGATTTCGTCAGCATGAGCAAAGTGAAGGAGTTGGTTTTTGAGAAAGGTTCCAGCGAAGGGGCTCAGCGAGCTGAGAAGATGCAGAACGCATATCAAGAGGTCAAGCTCATACCAAACGTCAAAAAGGGGTTCAGAGACGAGTTGCAGTGCAGTTTTTGGGGTGCTGACGTTGATGGAAAAAATGGTTTGGTTAGGGGCTCACTTAAGAGAGCAGTGCCGCTGGCTGGAATCATCTTGAGGCTGGTCAGAATAGGACATTGCAGTGGACATTTGATGCAGGTCATAGTGGGCGCCATCATTTCATTGTTTCTTTTCCGTCGGAGACTCCTCTGCCTTTTGGACTCATGCTTTGACTCTTACAGGGGAAGACCAATGGATGAAATTTTTCCTCTCTCAGGGCGGTGCAAAAGTGATTTGCTTTTGGTGGTCATTTTGCTCCCCATGGCCGCCACCAACTTGCAAGCTGGAACACCTGAGCTGGTTGCAGCCGCAGACGCCTCAAATTGGGGAGAAGCCGGAGTTTACAGCCGCATCCCACGACTAGTGGGGAAAGAGCTCACACGGCACTGTCTGCGAAAGTCTGTTTGGGTGCGCTTACTGACGCCAAGCCAAGCAGTTCTAAGGAGTCATGGTTTGCTACCTGAAGAGGAAGAGTTACCAGACCACGAAGAGTGTTTCAAGAGCAATCCTCTGTGGACCTGGCTTGCTGAAGGTCTCAACTACAATCTGCTTTTTGCAAAAGCCAAGACTGGAAACCGGCACATCAACATAGGTGAGGTTAGGGGTGTCTTGCGCACTGAGAAACTCTTGGGCCTGCGTCGCCCCAGCTGCAGACACCTAGTTGGTGCCGACTCTCAGGTAGCTCTGGGCGCTTTAGTGAAAGGGCGCTCAAGTAGTGCGGCTATCAACGAGGAGCTGAGCCGGTCTTTGCCTTGGATGTTGGGGCTTGATTCCTATTTGGACTTGATGTACTTCAACACTCTTAGCAACAGAGCAGATGACCCAACAGAGGGAAGGCAATTTCAGGAGCTAGTAGAAAGCTCCCTCCTTGGTGGGCAGCGCTTGCCGACGGAGACTTCCAGCAGTTTGATGTTTGGCTTCATGAACATGGGTTGGATGATGAAAGTTTGTCCGAATTACCCAGTTTTTCGGAGCTTTGTGGGGATTGCCCCGTTCCTGGCATTTTGCCAGCATTTTTGAGGACAGAACAGACTGACGTTAGCAGCACAGAGAAAGACCCTGCCCTGCCTGAGACTTTTCGAAAGGGGGCCGCAGTACAGGTGGAAGAACCCTTGCCGAGCTCTACTTCGTCAGCGCAGCTCAATTGTGAGACTGCGGGTCACGGTCGGGGTTCCCCATCGGTGGGCTGCTGGCCGTCGCCAGACAGGCGGCATAGTCACGAAGCCTCAAATGCTTGTGACAGCACCGAAGCGGCAGCGGCGGGGGCGAAGTTATCTACGACAGCCACTAACCAGAGAAAAGAACAGAAGAAGCGGGTGAGATCTGCTACCAGATCCTTGCCACCCCTTTTGAGCGCTGAAGCCAAAGAAGCCCTTCGGAGTTTTCCTGTGGGACAAGTAGTACGCAGTGCGGGAGTCAGCTGGCCGCCTAAACGAGCTGGATTCCTTGACTTGTTCTCAGGCGAACGAGGGGTCGCAAAGGAGCTCTCAAGACAGTGGTGCACCTGGAGCCTCTGCTTCGACTTGGAGCACAGCCCAAACGAGGACCTAGACGATCCAAAGTTGCGGACTCAGCTCATTCAGCTTTTGCGTCTAGGTTGTTTTGTCGGAGCAGGAGGTGGACCTGTTTGTTCCAGTTTCTCTATGGCCGTACGGCCACCAGTTCGCTCAAGTGAAGAGCCCTATGGTAGGAGTGAGCTGAATGAAAAGATGCGAGCCAAAGTTGAAGCGGGAAACAGCATGGCGATTTGGTTTTTTGAACTGCTGGATGCTGCTTTACATGAGGGTTTGGTAGTGTGGATTGAAAATCCCACGGCGTCTTGGATGTTCCGTTTGCCTGAGTGGAAGCGAATGCTTGACAAGTGGCCTGAACTTAAAGCTTGGATCGTTGACTACTGCCGGTTTGGCACTAAGTGGCGGAAACGTACCAAGTTCTTTAGCAACACTTGTTTAGGAGGGCAGAAGACTTTGTGTAACCGGTGCAAGCAACATCAGCTTCTGAAAGGCAGGTCAAAGAAACACAAGATGTCATGGACCAGGGTCGCGCAGCCTTATCCTACAGGAGTGGCAGCAGCGATCGCCAGAGCGTTAGCTATAGCTACTGAACTTGCGAAGGAGGACAGGAGTTTTGACCCTATCTCCTGCGCTCGAGCTGGCAGTTTGCGGATAGGAGAGGCCACCAACCCAGGGCCGCGCAGACCTAGGGGAGGACTCAGAAGTGGAGCACTAGAAGATGTTCCACTGGTTGAGGCCAGGACACTGGAGATACAAGATAAAGTTTGGGAAGCGTTTGTAGAATGGATGCTTAGGACGCTCAGCCGTGCCAGCGTTAGCTCAGCCATGGCCCACCCGGCGCTGCTGGTTCTGTTGGCTCGAGAGTATGGAAGCTATTTATATGCCACCGGAAAGTCTCTATTTGTCTTCAGGCATTTACTGGTTTTCTTACAACAGAATTTTGCAACTGCCAAACCTTACATGGGGCTTTGCTGGACGATGGTTTCAAAATGGGAGATGGCTGAGCCTACAAACCACAGGGTGCCCTTACCTTTTGCTATCTTCAAAGCCATGATAGCTGTCAGCCTTGGGTGGAAGTGGTTTAGGTTTGCTGGAGTTCTTTCGCTGGGGTTTATGGGAATCGCCCGGCCAGGCGAACCTTTAGCAGCCTTGAGGAAAGACCTGATCCTTCCCAGAGACATGCTTAGCTCAGACTCCAGCTTGGCATACCTCAAAATCCAAAAGCCAAAGACAAGGTTTCGTGGTGGCGGCCGAACACAACACTTAGCCGTCCACGACGCCGAGTTTGCTTTTCTCCTAGACTCAGTTTTTGCATCCCTGAGCTCAGAAGACAGTCTGTTGGAATGCTCGCCAAGTGCTTTCAGGCGGCGTTGGGATGCAATTCTCAGAGCTCTGCAGATTGGAAAGGAAAGTGGGCTTACACCTGGTGGAGTGCGAGGTGGAGGTTGTGTCCACGCCTTTCAAACTGGAGTGAGCCTACCAACCTTACTTTGGAGGATGCGGATTCGCCACTTGCAGACCCTTGAAAGCTACTTACAGGAAGTCATAGCTTCTACTGTAATCAGCGAGCTCAGACCTGAAGCTCGACAGAATGTGATGTGTGCTGCTGCGTTAGCTCCTGTCCTAATACGTGCCCTTTCAGTTCGCAAACCTTTTGCTTTACCAGAGACCTAGTGCTAGCGCATAGCTGTGCGCAAGCCTTCAGCTTTGGGCCTGCCATAAAAGTGGATGAAGATTCAGCAAACGCTACACTGGAACCTCCTCTTGGCCGTAATGTCATGTGCTCCAGCTGCGCGTTTTGGAGCTGCTACTTCTTCACCAAGATCCACACAACTTGTTGAGTCAGGCAGCAAAAAGGCAGCTTTTGCGAGTGCAGCCCTTGAAACGTGGTGACCCAAACATATATATATATATGTGTGTGTGTGTGTATGTGTGCGTGTGTGTGTGTGTGACGGCACATTGCGATGACATCCTCAATGTCTATTGCTACTGTGAACGGTGAACCATCTTCATTTCCCATGGCCGCCATGGAACCTCAAATGGCTTGTCATTTTTAGTACTAGACTTTGAGCCAAGGTTTTGGGCAAAGATGATGATCAATCATAGGTTTGGAGCTAAATCCATTACAAGAACGTTCTTGTGTCTTCTCAGCAGATTTCTACACTCTTCTTGGATGTATTTGCTGGGGTCAGACGGTTTACATCAGTGTGGTTGCGGACCTGTAGGATGTGGCCATTGCCGTCATCATTACTGCAATAGAGCGAGCTCATGAGTCATGACCCTCATTTCAGCAATATCTTGGCCAAAAATGACGAAAATACATAGCTTAACGAACTGGTACGTGGTGCTTTTTCATCCTAAGACTTCGGCATTCAATTGACTTGCATCCATGCATAGTCTATCGACCACACATTTTGACATAGTTTTAATTGTTTGTTAAACATGAGTATATACTATAGTATATGCTACCCAAACATGAGCTAACTAATTTGATATCGACTATTATTAAACTTATACCCATCACACATAAATGTACATACACACGCTGAGTCTGATTGTGAGAGTATCCAATGCATCACATTGTTCAGCGGTTTGCAGGGGCCTTTCCCAGGCCTTTCCCTTCTCAGGAAAGCGGGACCACTGGCAAGCGTGTTTGCTGAGCTGCAGGGTCAGCCAACCGGGGCAGGGTGTCTGTTCCATTCAATGTGTTGATGCTGATTTTGTTTTTGGCTAACAAAATCGGGATTTTACTGCTTCAAACAAGATTTTAAGCAACAGAATTGGAGATTGAACATGGTCTAACAAAAACAAATGGTTTATGCTCTGGGAATCGAACCCAGCAATTCAACCCCCTTTTGTGGATTATTTTCCACAAGATTTACCGTTTTCTTAGTTGGTGCCCGTTTTGAAGCTGCTTTTATGTCGATGATCCCCATGATATTCCCTCATGATGACTTGGATTGTTTAATTTAATCCAAGGGACAATTTAAACTATAATCCAACCCGTGTTTATGTTTATCTGTTCCTCTTGGTTTCCCATAGTTTTCTCCATTTTGGGTGTTCTTGGATCCTGTATCTAAAGATACATATATATATATATATATTTAAATAAACCATCCGTTGAATGCCATTTTGATCATCCCAGCACTAGCCGCAGATTTCCAGAAGCTGCTGCTGAAACGCCGCGCCTTGGAAAACATCGTCAGCATGGCCGAGAAAACCGACGCCGCTCGGGAGGCCGTCTTTTCGTATGGCTCGGAGTGCCAGGTGTCTCGGACCTGGGGTGCTGCCTCCCATACCGAGAATCATCCCTTTTTGGAAGGCAAAGACTAAGAAAAACCGCGGATTTTGGGCACTCAAATTTCAAATCCCCATTGTGATTCAATCTCCGTGTTTGATGACTATACTATTCCTGAAGTATTTTTGCTGGTTCAATCCACCTGTGTCCTAAGGACATCCACATTCTGGAGCTGCTAGAGCTTTGTGCGCAACTGCCACCCCGCAGCAAAGCAGTGGGGATGAAGCTTGGCCAAGGATCACTTCTGACTTCACAGACGTCTCTCACTGGATCAAACATCGCCCAAACTCCTCGCCCAAACTCAGGGATTTGGGCGATGTTTCAGGCCCTATTTGGGGATATTTTGTGCACCCTTGAGTCGATATGTTTTATCATGTTTGATCCATACCCTATATATGACATCTATGATTCATGGCAAGTCTCCCTAGTGGTGTTGAGTCTTGTCATGGTCACGGTATGTATATATATATATAAATAGAATTAATTAATTAATTCATTAATATTAATGAATTAAATGCATTATAAATAAATATGCAAATAAGTAAACAGTTCTGTAAACAACAACAAATATAAGTAAATATATGTATACATACATATATATATATTCATATATGCAAATAGATAATTTTGTATAAAACCACAATTCTAAATAGATATATATATTCTGTATATATCTATATTGATCTCATATCCCAATCTTGGGAGTATCCGATCTCCAACCCTGTGGATCTTGGTGCCGGCTTTCAGGAAACGCTTGCGCTTCATCATGGAGCCGTTGCGGCGAAATTTGACCCAGGAGTGACTTGGATCCGTCGCGGTCCGGTCGCGGTTGCCCCGGTGGGTGACTGGACGTTGGGCATGCATCCCCACCAAAAATGATTGGTAAAAAGATGTTATTTTATACAATTGTATGATATTATTATTATTATTGTTATTATTATTATATATATGATATTTACACGGATCATTACATAATGATATATACGAGAAAAATACGTATATATGATGATCAATTAAATCGATTTCTGAGCTTGCTAAGATCGACTTCAACAATTCTTGTATAATGACCATTGGGTTTTGACGTATCAAACCAAGCCATCCGAAGCACCAAGGCTGGCAGAGCAGTTACAGAGGATTTGGCCAAAGGAGCCGAATTCCAAGGCGCCCTTTTCTACCCAATCAGGGTGTGGTTCTGTGTGATTATATTATATACTGGTTGGTGGTTCGGAACATTTTTATTTTCCATAATATATGGGATGTCATCCTTCCCATTGACTAATATTTTTTCAAGATGGTTAAAACTAAAACCACCAACCAGTAATTACACATATTTTTGCACCCACTTTCTGTTGTTTCTTGGTGATCGTGGATCTCGGATCCATCCCGTTTTGATCCAAGACAAAACAACTCAAGCCTAAAACATCTTGACACATCATTTTTTTGGGGATTTCCTGTATATTTGCTAACTTTTCCATAGATTTCTATGGGATTTCCTCAATTTTCCATGGGATTTCCCAACTTTTCCATCGATTTTCCCAGGATTTCCCGGCACCTCCAGGTGCCTGCCACGGTCCCCGGCCGCGTTCTGGAGCTCTGCCGACTTCTGGCTGAAGCGCAGCGGGTGGAGCGAGAGCTTCGCAAGGCAGCGGCCGAAGCGCACGGAGGCGCAGGAGAAAGCCCAAAGAGTGAGCCATTTATGGTGGTTGAACCATTGATTCGATGGATTCCTGTAGATATCTGTAGAAGTTGATACCCTCTGGTAAACTTTCACATAACTATGGAAAGATCCACCCATTTTTAATGGGAAATTCCACGAAATTTCAATGGCAATTTTCAATTGCTTTTTGTATGTTTACCAGAGGGTAACAGGGCTTGGTAAATGTCCCATTTTGGGAATTTTGAACATCACTTTCAAATATTTGTTGAAGATTATATCCCCAATATTTGGGTGTTCCATTGGGACATTTACCAACCCCCGAATAATATGGGGGTTTCCATTCACATCTCAATTTATCTCAATCTTTGGTTTCCCGCCAGCCATATTTGATACCCTCTGGTAATTTAACATAGCTATTGAAAATGGTCATTTATAGTTGATTTATCCATTATATAAAACATGATTTCCCATAGTTATGTTAGTTTACCAGAGGGTATGGGTATAGTGGGGATATGATTTTACGAATGATCTGGGTATAATGGTTGTTCAAGCTAGGGATATGATTGGGATATGTTGGCATTTCTCGCAATTTTGCCCCAGGTTTTGGAGAGGGTTTCTCGGGGTTTTATGACTGAGTTCTTGGGTGAAAATTGGGAAGATGGAGCACACTTTCTGGGAGAACTGGCTGTGGAAGTGAGCATAGGACATTTTTGTTTGGCCTTTTATATGTATAATTATATATATATATACATAGGGATATATGATATAAACCTAGGGAAATATGAAACACAGATGGAATATGTCAAAAAACATGTTTTTTTTTCTCAGGCGGAAGTATGAAGTATTCGTGAAACATCACCAATCACCAACTACCAACATAATTATTGTTTATTATTAATTGATCTCGAAGATTCATAAATGGATAATTGCAACTGCTGCCTTGGACTGTGTGACCATCAATATTCGTAAATGGAGGGCGATAAAAGAATGTCAACCTGGTGCAGATGAGGTTGTAATTTTGATTAACTGTACTGTAACTGGGGTTGTTCCCGAACTCGGATAACTAATCATCAGGGTCATATTTCAAATTGTTTCTAGTCTTGGCCCCCAAGACTAACCTCCACTATCCATTGTTAGTGTGTGGAGGAGGGACCCAAGAAAAAGATCGACAAAGATTGGATAAAACACATGGTTTCTTCATGACCTGAGGCCAGACTCTCCTGCTCCAAGGGATGTCTTTTCTGGGGCTTGGGGAGGTGGTGAAACCAGCGAAAAGCAGGGGTATCGTTAGTCAGTGGTGCTGACGGGAAATCATGATATCAATGGATTTGGTTCAGGGGAAAATTGCTATGGAAACCTCATATTTCACGGGAAAATCCGTGGTTTCCATAGCAAATTTTCCTGTAAACCGATCCATTGATGTACCATAGCAGGCTCGCTACCTCTTTCTTCGGACGACTGGCCCAGTGAAGCCTTGGCCGCTCCATTGGTGGCACGCTTTCGGCACCATTTCTGTCGCGCGGACAGTGACCTCTGCCGCATGGATAAGCCGGAGTGGGCCTTCCGCATCCTGGCAGATCCATGGGCTGCTTTGGGCTGGTGATCTATGATATTGATGGACAAGCTGAAAGTGGAACCCCCGAAAAGGGATCAAAACGTGATATAATTACCGCATAGATCCGAATAGTTAAGAATTGCCTGTACCATCTCCATGATCAGAGGATCAACAAATTTGGCTGATTTTGGGTGCGAGTGCATAGATCAACAGAACATGCATGGAGCATCGGGATAGCATGATGTTGACAGGGTGTTGATGGAACAAAGGTGATATTTAACAAACATTTCTTTGGTAATCTTAACATCTGAAACAATTCTTTGCTTGGGAAGAAACATTTTATACATTAGAAGGAGTACGGTAATTTCAATAGTTCTGTTTGTCTTACTAGTAGCTTTGTATATTTATACATTTTTATGAATAGCCATGAATGTGTATAATTACAGGTATTAAATATCTTGTGAAGAGCTCTATGCGGTTTATGAATAGTCCCCAGCATCCAACGGACGACTGAACCACCCGCTAATCTATAGCCGGTCCCTTCAATGGTCCTCCAGGAAAAGATGTTGGTACTTGGCGCATTTTTGGAACCAAAAGCCAGTAAAGACCTCTAATCCCATCCTCAAAACATCTTGGATAAACATCCAAAGAATACGAGAACAATGACTAGTTATAACCACCTCCCCCAATAATTGTTGAGGAGAACCTAAAAATGTCGTGGTCATCTTAAACCCAACGTATATACATCAAACAAAACACCAGAAACGGTCCATGAAAACAGGATCGAACCATCTTCCCCAACCGCTTTTTCAAAGGATACAATAGAAAACTAGATGCTCTCCGGTAATCAAAAGAAGCAGCCCCAAAAAATCCCAATAAATGAAGATTTGAATGGACACATCATCGAATAGATATGGTAATTTCCAGCTAGCCACGTTTGATTATCGGAGGGTAAAGCAATAATTAGCCACTAGTTGTCCTCTAATTATCCATTAATCATCCATTCTTGTTGCTTACATCCAGCATTATTCACCATTATCAGCTACAAACAACTCACCAGAAGCGGCCTTAGTTTCAGGATACTTAACGGACCTCCTCTCCGACCATCTGGCTGAGCTGGACAGCTGGGGTGCCTCTCAGCTCTCGGAGGGGCTGTGCCAAAGCCTGGCTCAGGAAGCGCGACTCTTTCTGCGCCTGCGGATGCCGCTGCTGGTGCCGTTGATGCGGTTTTGGGCCAGTTTGAAGGGAAGTTAACCATCAGGTAACCATCAAAATTTGGAGTTTACCAGTTTTACAATCGAACATGCAGGTGAAACCACATTTAAGCACCATCAAAATGGGGAGTTTAACCAGCAACAAACATCGGGGTGTAAGGAGCACAAAAACATCGGTTTTCCCCGGCGAGAGTTTGGACTTTAGCAGCACAGCGATTTCTAACGTTGGTTCCCTCATGATATGGAAATATGACTGGAACTAACATATCTAGGATATATGGTCCCATATATCTGATATATATGATAGGATATATAGGAACTAACTCTATATGATATATACATATATATATAAATATACCCATATAGTTCCCTCATTTTAGAGCCCCAGTCATAGCCAATATGATTTTATCATACTATATTATTATAGGGGTCATACTTGGCTGTGGCTGTCAGCATAAGTAACTGGTTCTTGAGATAACTCTCCAATCTAGAGAAACGACACCATGTTACCCTCTGGTTATTTAACATTGCTATGGAACATGGCACATTTATATATAGATGATTTTCCCAGCTATGAACCTCCATTTATAATGGATTTTCCATGGCTACATATGTTAAATAACCGGAGGGTATATCTTGTCTTATTCATAATATGGATAGGGTCCCAAGTATGTCTTCGCATTTTAATCTGTCTCATTGAGGCTATGTGGTGGTTTAAACGAATTGCCGCTAGGAAGTGGGACTAGTTTGTCCTGTCAGCGCAGGTTTTTGTCCTGCTGGATATGGGGTTACTACTGTGGATGATTACTGTCCTGTTCGATAATCACTGTTGTTCTTTTATGGTACGTTGTGTTCCAGTCATTAAGACGTCTTTGTTTTTTGTTTGGGGAGATTTTCTCAACAACCATTGGGGTGTGTCTGACAATTGAAGGGTATATCACATATATATATAAGATTATACAGGTACATAATGTACGGTACACACACACATATATATATAAATACATAAACATATACATATATTATAAATATGTGCGTGCGTGTGTGTCTATCCCCAACTTTAGCCTTTTCCGAGGGAACATGGTGATAAGCCACTATGAAGCATGGGATTTTGAGTCATACTTGGGTCATGGTCCCAGTGTTTGTATCCGGTTGACCAGCGATGACCGTCTCGGGAAGTTCACTAAGACAGATGTGCCTTCCCTTGTCTCAGTTGGGTTTGTGCAAAAAAGAATAGCTGGAAATAGTATGTATATATAAAACATGTATCCACACACACACATACATATACATACTCTAAATGTAAAGTATATTATGCATATGTATAAACATGCATATAGTATTCTAGTATTTCATGATCATTTTCCTTATTATTGATCCTTTGGTAATCGACCATAATCGACCATAGCTATCCAGAACGACCATAGCTATTTGTAGGCAGACGGGCCATTCAAGATTATCACAGGGTAATGAAGTCTTGGGATATACAGCATTTCTGGACACAAAGCAGCTTGGGACATCCAAGGCCAAAGATGAAGGCGGCAGAACCTTGCTGTACCAGACCCTGCAGCAGCTGGTGAAGTTTCACGCTTCCATGCAGGCCCTGGGTGGCGAGAGCTGCACCCAGGTCTTGATGAAGGACTTTGATATGCAGCTCAGCGGAAATGGTGCAGAAAGTGCGGGCCCAAAGGAAGGTATCTGGAAATGGAGGGGAAATTTGATTGGTTAGTGATTAGTGAACTGAATCGGGCGATATTTTTTTTGGGGAAGTCGTTTGCAGATGCCTCAGCCTTTTTGTGTGGGCCTATGCCCCAAGCTGAGCCAAGCCTCTGCAATGATCCTGCAGCTTCAGTAGGATATACCCCAGGTGGTTGCTGTTAATACCATGCTGTTAATACCATGTTTGTCTATGGATCACATCCCCATCATCTTACTATATCTTGTACTTATCTTGTTGGGCAACTTGTCAGCAACGCTGCGTTGGTACCTCAGGAATCGGCCCTTAGAGGAGCTCTCCAGTCCCAGCCCGACGCGCCCGCGGGAGGGAGGCCTCATTGCAGCACGCCTAGCGCGGGCGGTGCGTGGTCGAGAGGAGGAACTACCTCTGGGCTTTTTGGATGCTTGGCTGAAGTTGTAGTGAATGTTGTCAAAGCAATAATGAACCACCCATATTTGCAATGGTTTGTACAGTTTACACCACCCATCTATGGAAAAATTGGGGATGGTTTAGTATTGCTGTACTAACACTATTTTCCCTTGAAGTGAAAACCTGAAGAATACTGGAAAAAAACACCAATGACTCATGGATGATTCTGGGGTTGCTTTTTGGATTGTCAATACTATGCTGGGTCAAATGAGTCATTTGACTTCCAGACTTCATAGAGGATGGTCTGGAGTGGCGAGGATCCATCTGGGCCATCTGGTGGCTATCGTCAAGTCTTGCGTAGACTATGATGACTAGGGCAATAGGGCAGGGGTAGCTATGATAAAATGTCCGAAGTCTGTATTCAGGTTGGGGAATTATTATAAGTATTCTATCCAATTTCAATGGAAACTCGATTGCCTCTGTTTCGAACTGTTGCTTGTTTTGCCTCTACCGTGACCTTTGGGATAGCTGCAAGTTGTATCAGCAAGCAGCTGCTGACCTACAAGTGATAGTAGATCGGTAGAGGGTTCTGAAGCTCTTTGGTTTGTTTTACATAGAATTTCCCCACAGTTGCAACTGAAACAGAGGAACTGCACGATGTTCTAAACCATGGGATGGAATTCGGAATATGCAAAAAATCAGACAACCCCACAGAGATAGATGGAATTGTAGATAGAGATAGAGGTTTTGAAACATGCTGACCCTTCATCCCTGATGACTAGAATAGCCCCTAAGGATGTTTTCACCTCGGCCGATGCCTCCTTCATCGCTGAAAAGCTGGAGAGCGCACTACAAAGCAGCGCATGGCGGGTGCAGCCGGTGGATGCGAAGACGGTGACCTGTTGGAAAAAAGGGGTGGAACGTTGGGGAAGCCATGGCAGGTGGGAATGGCGAGAAATTAACGTGTGGGTCTGGGCAAACTGGGATTTGTCTCCAAAATGTTTTTTTGTTTTATTTATTGGAGGAAAAATGGCAAGCCGTCAAATTTGGGAGTACACTATTTCAGACAAATCCATTTAGTGGGCCATTTTCGGGCCCGTTCCCAAATACTCCCAAGTCCGTTCCTACAATTTTTGGAGGCTTGTGGGGCTGGAGAAGCTCCAACTTTTAACACTCCCCCGAAGGTTTTGGAATCACTTTTTTAACCATGTTCGTTGTTGATTTGATCATTGAATCATATGATCGTACTACATACCTGACCGATACCTGATGGAATTTCCTTTACATCTTGGCCGGGGCCAGCCTTCTTATAAATGTTCTATATATTAGGCATTTTGTAGTTACAAGAAGCTCCTGCACCAGTGCATTTTGCAACAGGACACCTAAAAGGCAAAGTTGCACATTTTGAAATGTTCATTTTGTCAGAGTTTTGACGGGCCAACTCATTCTATAAGACCATCGGGTACGGGTTCTTTGAGGCATTTTGTAAGCTCAAGATGCTGTTATCAGAAGGATAGCGATTGCCCATATTTGCAAAAGGGTGGCAAACTTTTTACGGTTTGTGTTCATTGCAAAAAGAATTGAAATCCTTACAAAAAGGATGCCTGAAAATCAACGAGCCCGGGGAAAAAAGAAGCAGAGAACCAGAAGTTATTACCTTACAAAATGCTACCCAAAAATGCTACTGAAATAACAACTTCTTATAAAAAGGTCATCGGGATGATGCAACATTCACATCATGAAGAAAGTTGTCACCTTACAAAATGATGTGGGATTTTAGGAGCCGAGTGTTGGTGCTAAAGCTCTATGCTGGTTCTCAAAGTCCCGCCATTTTTTGCTTACAAGAAGCCGGGTGCGAGCCCTCCCCGCTAATTTCATCGGGTATCCTGAACGGCTTTCAGATTTGTTCAACCGTTGTACCACCATTTTGGTGGTGGATGAAATCCGAATTTTTTGGTGGCTGACACCGGTGACATCCCCCCGTTTTTTGTGGTTCAGAACCTCCCCCCATCCAACCCCATCCACCGGGCGATCTTCGCGCAGGACGGGAGTCCAGAGATCTTCGCCTTGGGCACCTTGCTGCCGGACCTCTTGGAGCGCGCAGCCGAGCGCTGCGCGTGCCTGGCGACGGAGGTGGCACGCAGAAGCTACTGCAACCTGGTCCTGGCGCCAGGTGAGGGATGCTGGGTCGGATTGAATGATGATTTAATGAATTTCATGATTATATATTTAAACCAATGATGATTTAATTGGGTGTATATACTGGTGATATAACCTTTTTCATGGTGATTTAATTTCATTGTAAATTCATGATTTAATCCCATCCCCCTTCATATGAAACACCTCCTAAATCCCATTGTAAGCTCCCACACATCTGGTTTCATCCCTACTATTCCCTACTAGACCATGGTTGTGCAGGGGGTGTTGAATATTAGAGTGATAAATTACCACATGAATAAATGTTTTGCCCGGAAATAATGGTTCATAAGTTCATAATGGTGAATCATTGGGAAAAAAAAGATGGGTGATGTAGAGTGGTTGAGATTTCTTGGTCATATATGGTAAGATGGGATTGGAATGTTGGACATGTTTGACTGAACAGTGCAAGCAAAACTAGGGCCTAGGGTCTGGATCTGGATGTGTCATGAATGCAGAATCAGCATGAATCATCCGGTTCCATCCCGTTCTGTGGCCACTTTCCTGTACTCGGGCCCCGGGCAGGCCTGCGGCAGAGTGCCACAGCGTTGAAGCAACGCTGGAACGACCTAGCGGATCCCTTGAAAGCTCCACAGGAGGTGGATAGACTACTGGAGACGCTGCAGGAGTTTCACCAGTTTCACCAGGTTGTCGATGAGTACCGGATGGTGTACACACAGAAATATACTATATGTTAATATATATTAACACACGCGTATATATATATATATATAATTAATTATATATTAATATGTTAATATAATAATAATAATAACAATACCAGTAGTACCGCACAAGGCGGTGGCGGAAGTTTCAGAATAGGAAACCTATAGGAGACGTTGGTTGTTGTGAATCACGGATGGCAGAGCGAATCCACTGATTGACCGAAAGGTGGTTGGAGTTGTGTTTGCTGGAGTGGTTGCAATGGTTGCAGTGGTAACCTCACCCACAACTGCTGGATGTAGTGTGATGTACTGCAACTGTAGTTGTAGTTGTAGCGTAGTGGAGTTGTAGTTGTGGTGTAATGTAATTAGTGTAGTGTAGTTGCAGTCATAGTTGTAGTTGTTTTGTAGTTGTAGTTGTTGTGTAGTTGTAGTTGTAGTTGTTGTAGTGTAGTTGTTGTAGTTGTTGTAGTTATTGTAGTTGTAGTTGTAGTTGTTGTAGTTGTACCTGTAGTTGTTGTGTAGTTGTAGTTGTTGTGTAATGTAGTTGTAGTAGTAGTTGTTGTTGTTGTTGTTGCTGTTGTTGTTGTTGTAGTTGTAGTTGTTGTAGTTGTAGCTGTAGCTGTAGTTGTTGTAGTTGTAGTTCTAGTTGTAGTTGTAGTGGTTGTGTAGTTGTAGTTGTAGTTGTTGTAGTTGTAGTTGTAGTTGTAGTTGTTGTGGTTGTTGTGGTTGTTGTTGTTGTTGTTGTTGCTGTTGCTGTTGCTGTTGCTGTTGTCGTCGAAGTTAGGGTAGTTAAGTTAGCGAAGTTAGTTAAGTTAGTCAAGTTAGTTAAGTTAATCAGTGTCTACTTTTTCGACATCTTAACGTCAAAAAAGGCTCAAAACCATCAGTTTTTTTACACTTTTGACTTCGGAATGTGCTTCGCGCCAAAACGGCGTGCACTTTTTCAACATCTCAACTTCCAAAAGTGGTCCGAGCATGGTGTGTTTTGTACATTTTGACTTCGGAATGTGCTTCGCGCCACAACGGCGTGCACTTTTTCGACATCTCAACTTCCAAAAGTGGTCCGGAGCTGAGGTGTTTTGTACATTTTGACTTGGAATGTGCTTCGCGCCACAACGGCGTGCACTTTTTCGACATCGCAACTTCCAAAAGTGGTCCGGAGCTGAGGTGTTTTGTACATTTTGACTTGCAAATGTGCTTCGCGCCACAACGGCGTGCAATTTTTCATCTCTCATCTGGCCAGCTGGCTCCGCACCCGCCGCTTTAGCGAGCCTACTTTTCGACCCTCCGGAGCCACAAATCATTCGAAAAACACAGTGTTTCGCGACGTTCCTACCTTTTCGCGCACCTGCATCTTCTTTCTTCTGATCTTTTTCTCTTCTGACTCTTCTCACCTCTGCTTTTCAACTGTCCATACTGTCGGAAGTTTCACTTCTAAACTTTCTTCGAATAATAATAATATTAATAACAATAATGATAATAATAATAGTAATAATGATAATGATAATATATATATATATATATTTATGAATCATATATATATATATATGTGAATCATATATATATATATATTAAAAAACACATCTATTAACATATATTGTTATGCATTAATACATGCAAATATACATATATATATATGTGATTTTGTATACACACAGGTATATAGATAATTATTTGTCATTAGTCATTCTTTTTCAGGATAGATAGCTAGATATATAAATACGTACAGTAGATAGATAGATGTAGTATTCTGGCAAGACCCTATGGTTTGCCCGGAAGGTTAGAACGGTGTTTAAACATTATCCTTGGACATGCTCAAATACCTGCGAATGGCCACTGTTTTGGTATTTCCCAGACGATGAACCGTACAACCTAAATTCTAAACCCTAAAACCCTAAACCCGAAAAACCTAAACCCTAAAACCCTAAACCCTGAAAACTCTGAATCCTAAACCAGAAAACACGGTGTATACGCCGTATTTTCTGCAATTCATGGGGTCTGTGCGTAGGATTAGCATGGATTAGTTGTAAACGGTTGGCTCAAAAAAAGAACTGGATGGCCGCCAGTTGCCAACATCACAGGAGCTCTGCGTGTTTCTGGACGGCTTTTCCTTGGCGAAGCACATAGTGACCGCATGTGACGAGCTGAGGGAACTGCAAGTGCCTTGACTTACGCGAATGAGGTATTTTTGGGTGTGTGCGTGTCCGCGTTTTTATTTTTATGTTATTTCATATGCATATGTAGCAGATAGCAAGCCCCAAAAAGATAGGAGAGTATAGACTCCGAATCTAAGATAGTGATAAACTATACTTGTATAACTCTTTTCTTGGGTTGGTATACTCATGCTAGATCATGCTACATCCATAGTAATTAACCCCAGAAGTGTTTTTTTTGGGGGGTCGGGTAATGGGATGTGGAGCGAGAGGTTGGTCATGGGTAATGACCTTCATTACCTCATTCAGGTCATTTTATGGGATTTAACTGGTTTTATGTTTTAATCATCAAATCAAAGACTTGGGGTTTAACATGCTTTAACCATCAACATTTTAAGAATTACCATTAAAAACATACGGGATTTAGCCATCAAAATTTGGGATTTCACCATCACTAAATCACCGGTTGGGGGTCAACCATTGCTGTTGAACCATCCAATGGGAATGATTGGTTTGAGATGTCGAACATATTTTTTGGGGCCTAAAACAATCTAAAACATGTTTAAAACCACTAGCCAGGAATGCTGTTGACCCAGATGACTGAGTTGACCCGAGGTTCGGTCATGAATTTATACAGCCACAGCCTGTAAACGAAAGAGGAGTTCCCCGTTTTGAACAACAGAAACGATCTTGGAACACAGGAACACATAATCATTTCGTTTAAGGTACTTGTATTACAAACGTTGAAAACCATTTGAGCATTTACTGTAGGCCGGTTTGGCAGTCCATGTGGATGTGCAACTTGCCACAGCTGTCCATTCACCCCATCCTTGTGACCTTGTGCGCATGTGTCGGTTACACATGGCTGCTGCATCGATCTCAGGTGTTGATCAGAAAGAAACTCTTGGAACTGCAAGCTGAAGATGACTGAGCCAGGAAAAAACTGCTGCCTTGGCCCTGCCTTGGCCAATCCCCGGCGTTTGGGGAAACCACAAAGAGCCAACTGGTCAGTCGGATCATTTTCGAGCATGTTGGAGATGAGATGATGGACATCAACAAAAAAACGTGTATATTGCACTTTATTGACATACACACACACACATATACATATATACATACATATGGTGGGTAGGATCTATTTCTGTATAAATTTGTCTATGAATATATCCATCAATTCCCGAAAAACACGCCATTTCAGGTGAAATTTGTGGTTTGTTCCTCCTCATGGCCATCCCCTTGGGCAGCCTCCAGGCAGAGACGAGCTTCGGGGAGCAACATGGGCAGGCTCGGGGAGGGCGACTGCGCAGCCTGATGGCGCAGGGTTATTGTTCACTCGTACACCATTGGTTGGTGGTTTGGAACATTTATTTTTCCATATGTTGGGAATAGTAATCCCAACTGACGAATTCATATTTTTCAGAGGGGTGGCTAACCACCAGCCAGACCATGTTTGAATAAAATTTGATGTTTTTGTGGCCGATTGGCCGATGTCTTCCAAACATCTTTTGGTATTCTCAATGCCAACTTTGGAATATATGATTTGGTGGTTGGGCAACGAAATTTCGTGGACGTTGAGCAGCTGGAAATGGTTTCCCGTGGCGATTGAATGGGTGTTCGTTGGGGTACATGTCATCACCCTCAGGCGTCGATCCTGGATTTGTAGATGATTTGCTCAAAGTAGGCTTGTTCCCAGGTCAATTTCCTAGATTGCACTTGAGCCCCCCTGCTGGAAGGAACTCTAATGTTGCGGGAAATCGCAACTTTTCAACCATCAGTTCCAGGGGGTTGAGGGAATTCTATGGAATTCTCAGGTCATTGTTTGACTTGTGCGTTGTCTTTTCGCATATTCGGTTGTTAAAACCCATGTTTTTTGAAACAGTGTTTCCCTGAAACCAAGGTGATTTACCACAGTTCTATCCATTGATACATGGCATATTTCCACGTAACTAATTCTTTTGATGCTTATATCCGCTGCTTCGGAGGGAGCTAGGGAGGTGTTAAATGCAGCGCTTTCAGACACACCCATATCATCCCATATCCACATAGTGTTGCTTGTATCGTAGTGTTGTATATTAACAAATGTTAGTATACATATATCATCATATATCTATCATATATGTTCCATGATATTTCCCCTAATAACTATCATACATACAAAATATACAATATATATATATAGATATAAATATATATATATAAATATTATATAGATATAAATATGATATCCCATCTTTGGTCATAAATCCCCATTTGGCTTTCCGAGGCCTTCCACCATTTCGTCCCGGCAGAGGGTCCCAGCGCCTTTGATCACTTCAACGCCTACGGGGCCAACACGCGACCTGAGGCGCAGGGTGGTAGGCCTCCGGTAAGCTGTGACAGTTATAAGCCTCAGGACTCCGGATTTAAGCCTTATATGGTGATTATATGGTGATCATATCCCTAAAAAAACATAGATAATCATAGATATCCAAAAAAGTAGCCCAACATTTAGAACATCAAGCCTGGAACTATGGAACTATGACATATTATGAAATAAGACCCTTCCAAATGAGGCTTTGAAGAATTATTTTTCCACTTGTAAATGACGTTTGAAAAGGGTCTATTTTAAATTTGGGCAGGGTATGCCTGATATATAACAAGCGCCACATAGATAGAACGTTGAACACCGGAAACTCTGAGATAAATGAATATGTATATATGATATAATATGTATATATATATGTATCATCATCTTATCACTTCTTAAAGATTTAAATATCATCGAACTACCTTCCTGGAAACACTTTTTGGTGTCTTTTTGAGGGGTTGCTATCATTGTAGGCAAATGTAACTTACAAAAGATCTGCCCCCCAATTGCTTGGGTCGTTAGAGTCCTGGCGCCTGGGCTCTGTGCCAGTAAGACTTCAGGTACTCAGACCAGTAAAATGGGGATTTTTTCATGGGTGTAAAATCAGGACAAATTTTCAAGTCCCCCAGGGCCCCACTCATCCACCATCATCCGCAATCACAACTTTTTGCTGGTGAAATCATGTGAAATCCCTCAGTATCTTGCAAACATATCCATGTGGATCTGAAAATGGAATAATTTATCCTCAATTATAGCCATTTCTATGGGATAAATGAGGATTACCCATGAAATGTTGTTTTTTTTTCCCCCTAAATGTTCAGACAAACGCCCCTATTTTTTGCTGTGAAATCCAGCGGTGCTGCTAGGCCTTTGGTGTCGCCACCGAGGGCCCCAGCGCGGCGGACCACTTCAACGTCAGCAAGGCGCAGACGCCGCCACCGCCCTCTTCACCGTGGGCTGCAGACTCAGAAGCGAATGTCAATCAAGGAATCACGAAACCCAGTGAAGATTGATATTACCCTCTGGTAAACTTTCACATAACTATGGAAGATCACAATTTTTAATGGGAAAATCCACTATAAATGGCCATTTTCAATAGCTATATGTTTGTTTACCAGAGGGTATCCAGAATCCTGGAGTTTCTTGGAACCTTTCATCAATGACTGCTTTTTTGATCCATCCTTGATTGGCATGACTGACAAAGAACCAAATAAAGGTCCCACAGGTTCCCTATACAAGCCTGCAAGATACATGCGGTATCTAAGTTAATACATGCTAAGTTAATACATGCTAAGTTAATATATGCTAATACATGGGTGTGTGACTGTATCTAAGTTAATATATGCTAATGCATGCGGTATTGATGCCTAGAAAGGTCTAGATGGTTCACCATGACTGAGATCGTCGTCTTCTCCCCCGGGGATGCCTTCAATATTTCTCAACTTGTTTCAGATGTGCGCTGCCTCATCTCCGCATTGTTAGTCATTTGACGCATTTCATTTACACATTTTATATCCCATATTTCTATTGGGTTTCATTCCTTGTTTCGTTCTGGTTGGTGAGAAATATCCAAAATTCTGCGGCCGATCATGGCCGATTCCCACTTACAGGGAGTGGAGGCATTGCGCGAGAAGGCCCTGAGCTTAGATAAAAGAAAAACGGGAGGATGGCTACTGCTGGAATTGCGAGAAGCTCGAAGAACAATTGTGGGTGCCAACAGTCTTTGTATTCACCCCGCTTCGCGTGGGGTGGCCGCTCACACCGCAGGTTTATTTAGGTCCGTGAGAGGGGCTAAGGGTGGTTTTCCCCCGTGGGGGCTCCCCAAGCTAAGAATTTTAACTTCCCCCCCCCGTGGGGGCTCCCCAAGCTAGGGAATTTTCACTTTTCCCCCCCGTGGGGGCTCCCCAAGCTAGGGAATTTTCACTTTTCCCCCCCGTGGGGGCTCCCCAAGCTAGGGAATTTTCACTTTTCCCCCCCGTGGGGGCTCCCCAAGCTAGGGAATTTTCACTTTTCCCCCCCGTGGGGGCTCCCCAAGCTAGGGAATTTTCACTTTTCCCCCCCGTGGGGGCTTCCCAAGCTAGGGAATTTTCACTTTTCCCCGCCGTGACAGCTTCCCAAGCTATGGAATTTTCACTTTTCCCTCCCTTGGAGGCTCTCCAAGCTGCGGAATTTCAAATAGCTAGACAACGACGCCTAGATAGTCCCCAAATCCCGTGTTCTTTGAATGTGTTTCCATGTTTTTGCAATGGTTTCCTTCAAAGCACGGTACTTTACACTTTTGTCGCCATAAAACCGGTCGAAAACATCATGTTCGACAATGCTTCCAATCCCCTTATCTCCCCAACCGTTGAAAATACCGCTATTTACAGTGTTTTCTTCAATTTTTCCATGTTCCAATGCCGGTAGCCAACTCCAACATATATATAAGAAATCCTTCCAAAACATTGTGTTTGACAGTGTTTTTCCAATGTTTCCAGTCAAACAGACGGTAATTTACACGTTTTTTGCCATAAAGGCAGTAAATCCTTCCAAAACATTGCTTTTGACAGTGTTTTTGAAATGTTTCCAGTCAAGCATACGGTAATTTACACGTTTTTTGCTATAACGTCAGTCCAAAACACTTGTTTTTGCAGTGTTTTCAATGCTCTGGCATCCAAAAACCCTGCAAAATTCTTGCTATGTACAATGTTTTTTTCATTTTTGGCCGTTTTTCCATTGCCGGAAAGCTACCAAAATGACCCAAAATTCCATTTCAATACCCTCTTGCGCTCAGACACCCAAAAATCCTCGAAAAATGTCGAAAACACCACCGTATTCTGGTCTCGGTGCGAAACCGTTTTTGCCCCCCCCCCAGCTAAAGCTGATATAGCGACTGCTATATTAACAAATGTCATTGAGCATTTAGTGTTGCTGTTTTTTTGCCCCCCAATAAGCACGCCTTCACCGCCAAAGCGTTGTGGGTGCCAACAGTCTTTGTATTTTAACATGTTTCAACAAAACAATGGTGAACTAATTTGATGAGGATAATGTGGTTGATACACGTTGATACTCACAATCCCAGATTCCGAGGGTTATTTACATTTCTTTGGGTTTAGAAAATCGGGTTGCTGAATGCTGACCAGTTGTTTTTTCGGACGTGGATGGTATGGAAGATGCTAGATTTTGATAGATGTTGGGCAAACTTTGAGCTTCGGGGACCTACATATTTTGACTTCGGATGGGTTTTGATCATTTTTTGGTAGATTGGTCAAACATGGATTTGTATTGGATGCATATTTATATCAGCCATATTATGTTCCTGGGTTCCCTTTTTTTTGACCGTTACCCAGATCTTGCATAGAGTTGAAGGATGTTGGAGGCTTCGTGTGCAGATCTTCCACCAAGTTTTTATGGTTACCAATCAAGATCTATGATTTGGGACAATTTTCAATATCAGATACCTAATTGCTGATATGGTTTTGGTTCCCTAGATTAGCAGTATATCATAGTAATTATATCTGTGATTTTTGTTAACACTCATGTACCCAATATTTATTCACAGCAATATCCGTAAAATTCTCCCTGAGGAGGACTTGGGCCGCCGCGCGCGACCGGCAGCAGAGGTGTGTCTGGGCACATCAGAATGATTTGCAGTAATTGTGGAATATCTAAAATCATCTCAATGTATTCAGTGGACTCAGGCAGAAACATGCAATCATCGATGGATACATCATGATGACTTTGGTATATAGTTAATACATGTTAATACCGATCTCAATATGACAATATGATACGATATGCTGATCTCAAAGAGCTCGTTGACAAATCTTCCCGGATTCCCCCGTAGATTCGGTCGATCTCCAGTGGCCCTGCAGGAGCCTCAGGAGCAGAGTGATATCGACAATTCCACTGTGAAGCCCGGGGATGGTCAGGAAGGTTCCTTGAGGACCTGGGAGGATGGGCCCTGGAGAGATTTGATTGGTTGATTGGTTGATCGGTTGATTGATTGCTGGTTGGTGGTTTGGAACAGCCATGATGGTGGTGAATAGTGGTTAATAATGGTTAATGAGATATCCTGCTTGGTGGTTTGGAACATGAATGGATTATGACTTTCCATTCAGTTGGGAATTTCAGAATCCCAACTGACGAACTCCATCATTTTTCAGAGGGGTGGCTCAACCACCAACCAGATTGATTGGTTGGGTGGTTGGTTGGACTGATTGAGACTAGATGGGTGCTGTAGATGGATTTGATCAGACTTTCACACCCACGTGCTGTGATGATTCAGTTATATACCTCCTGACCTTGTCATTGAAGGGGCTGGAACCTCAAACCAGAGTTACGGCTGGATTGCACTCTAGATGTATATATATATATTTATAGATCGTCCCTACTAGACTAGTAATGAGTATTCTGTGTGAATGACGGTATGAGGGCGGAACGAAGGGTGATAATCTGAAGCTCTGGCATTGCGACATGTCTCAGTTGGATTGCACAGCATGTGACTCAAGTACTTTTGGCTCCTTTTGGGCGTGAAATTGTTCAGAATTCTGTGGTATTGAACAGGATGCATATCAAAGATCGGTTTTTAGCAGACAACTCACATCCAACTGTTTTGGCTACATTACGTATATTTTTGGAAAGCTATGGCGCCCATAACCAGGTCCAGACCATTACCCTCTGGTAATTTAACATAGCTATCGAAAATGGCCATTTATAGTGGATTTACACATTGAAAATGGTGATTTTCCATAATTATGTTAATTTACCGGAGGGTATGTTGTCTACACCACCAGTAGTATGAAAGAAGAACCTCCAGAAAAACCGCCACTTCGCCTTGAGGAAGCGACTCGGCAAAGGTCCAACTTGGAGCCAGCAGGTCTCTCCTGGACGCCGTGCAGATGTCTCTTGGCGCCAGAGGTGATGTATTTTGAGGCCGCCAGGGGTGAATCAAACTGGAGATAACTATGGTAATAACCCCTGTAAGTTGAGATATCACCCCAATAAGTGTGTATATATATATATATATGTACGTTTACTTGTATCATTAATTATACATATATCAATTATAAGTGCATCTGCACCCCCAAGTGTAGACCGGATGCATATGGATGCATGCCAAGTTTGCATGAGATATCCTGCTTGGTGGTTTGGAACATGAATGGATTGTGACTTTCCATCATATTGGGATGTCATCATCCCAACTGACTTTAACTCCATTTTTCAGAGGGGTAGCGAAAAACCACCAACCAGATTATTATTAACCATCATTAACCATATAATAACCATATAATCACCATATATTAACTATATATTGACCATATATTAACCATATATTAACAATTTCAGAGGGGTTGGGTAGGTATACCACCAACCAGATATTGATCACATTCCATGTGTTTTGGTTGATTCACGTGGTTCGTGATCGAGGAATGCGACGATGAAGCCAGTTGGGGCAGCTGGTTCTAGGCAGGGCCGGGTCCCCGTGGTTCGTTGAATCGACCTCCAAATTCGGTGCGTTTTAGGTAGGGAATTGATGGGTTGCTGGGGGTTGCTGGGGGTTGCTGGGATGATTATTGATAGTTAGCCAGTGGATCATTCCCGAAAATTCCCCGCGTTTAGAACCAGTAAGTCAATAGGATGTTTATCTTCCAAAGACCCAGCATGTTGTCGGTGAAAAAACAATGTGATTTCCATTAAAAGCGTCTTTTTTTTAAGCAGAGAAACAAAACACACTATCCACAGAAAAAGAACACACAACATCCCAATGCTGGTGGAATCATCCCCAACCTTAGATGGGTAGTTTAACCCCAAGACCTGACGCATCACCCGGCTCCAGCCATCGGAATGGGCCTTTTTTAAATACCAGGGATTTTGAGCAGATGATGACGGCATGGGAGGCGTCCCAAAGGAGTATGATTTTATAATAATATTTTATATAATATAGTACAATGAAATATAATATCACATATATATATATATATATGCAATATGATTATAAACATCAAAGGTGGCTGGTGGTTTCAGATATTTCCTGCTGCTAACCTTGCCATGTTGCCATGTTTTACCCATCTAGTCGGTATACCACGTACTGGTGGTTTGAACATATGTCAAAGATTCTTTTCCATTCCAAGAACGGGATTGTGATGCCATTCCAATGAGATTATCATCCCAATTGTGTATCTTAGATGCGCTAAGGCAGCCAACCAGATGACATTTGCCCTGAGTGGAAAAATGCGGGTGTTCTGCTTGTTGTTACCCTTCGGTAATCAAACATGGCTAGCAAGCAAAACCCCTATAACTGGAGGTTTGAATGAGAAACTCATCGAACGAAATAGGGATTTTCCAGCAGGCTAGGTTTGATTACCGGAGGGCAATTGAGAGGAGATGGATTTGTCCAAAAAAAAAAGGTACCCAAAAAACTTGGATGTCCTTGAGACAGTGTATGATAATGTTTTGTTGATTTTCTATTTCCATTTTTTGATAGAAAGCTGATGCGAGTTTTTCCAAGATGTATTGGGGCGAGTGGCTGCACCATTTAGTGCCATGGATTGTAGCTTGAGGTATTAGCTCCTAAGATGCTCGGGTTGCTGAGCAGATGTTCTGCGGGGAATGCAATGTTTCATATTGCTTCTGTTCAACTGTTCAACTTGGCGGTTCTGCCCTATACTCGGCACAAGGGGGCTGACCCCCTGAGTCAGGCAAACTTATGACATCCCCCCTTGAAGTTGCTAGCCTCCAAGTCCAAGCCTAATCTTTTTTTTCAAATTTGGAGGTGAATTTGAACTTTAATCTCGTCTCGCTACCGGGAGTCTGTCCGGAAATGGGGTGCACCGTTACCCTTAGAATTGCGATCTTAACGGTCAAAATGATTCATACATAGACATGCATAGACTATATATGGGATTTGGGGTGCCATATTTTTGGACCAACATATTACATCATATCGAAACTTGAATGGCCAAATTGCCATGTTTCGCTTTGTGCTTGCGCTTGGCCCTGGTGACTCTTGCCGTTGGGCACAAGAAACGCTGTGTGGACGACTATGACAGCTTGAAGGCAGGCCATTTCTGTGGAAACCGTGGCGGGTTGGCTTAAAACTATGGCATTTTTCCCGATGAATGGGGAGGAATACTATACATACTATACCCTGATTAGTTTGAACAAGAATGAGGGGAATGGTCGGACTCTGCTTCACAGCGAAAATCCGTCGCTTCTTTCCGCGCAAGCACAAAGCCTAAAATGGCCACCTCAGCTATCTACAGGAAAAAAAGCATCTTCAAGTATCTTCCAGCATTTTTCAGCCCCTTTACTTTTCTTCATTTTGTTCCAGCTTTGTGATGTCTTTCTCGGGGCCATACTGGGGCCTTGTTTTGCCAGGCAGGTGATGACTGCACAGTACGGTGGAAGGAGCTGAGCAACGGCGGGCCCTTCTTGTTGCCCACCCAGCCTGCGCTGGGATATGCCTGGGTGCATCAGCTGCAGGCTGGGGGTCGGTGCTGATCATGGGAATCTTGGGGACATGTGCCAGGCAACTCGGAAGGGTTGATGGATGACATCCTGTGAATAACCAAGAATAACTAAGAGAAGTGATGTGTGGTGAAAACAAGTGTGTCGGCCAGTGACGGCTTCTCAGCTAGGAGGAGCATTACTCATCAAAAAAGGATGCAGAGAAGGAGCTGAAGATGCTTGCCTGATGTATTTGTCTGAGAGAGGATGCGTTGTCCCACCTGTCATCTTTGATTGTACATTTTTGCAGTGGCATCGCATCATACAATCATACAATGCTTTCGTGTTATTATGTTTGACTTGGGTGCCCGGTGCATCCCGTTGCCAGTCTTTGTTGTACCCACTGTTGCAGGTTGACAACAATAAGGTTGCCTTCTTTTAGCTATAGATGGAGGAATGTAACATCCTGCCAACCGCTCAAAATCAAAGTACATTTGCAGGGTACCTACATACTGTTGCATACTAATATGTGATTGGTGGTATGCATACTGTTGCACACTGTTACTATACATGCTAATATATGATATGTTACATACCGTTACATACTGTTACAAACAATTTGTTGTATGCAGCCATGTTTTGCATTGCCTTCGAGCACGTTTGCATACGCTGTGGGCCCGAGGAAGGATCGCTTTCCGGTGGCTACTCGGAGGGACATGGCCTGGTGATCCCTGCTATCTAATGATATCTAGTGCAAATGGATTCCAAACTCCAAAGGAACTTGTGGGCAAACATGGGCAAACTTATGGATTTATGATGATTTACCCATATTTTATGGCAATTTATGATGATTTATGGGTAGTTAAACTCTCATCAAATATTTGGGATGGAGCCCATCTTCCTTTGCTGTTGGTTCTTGCGACTCCGCAGGATTCTCTCCCTGGATGATCCCTTGACTCAAAAGCTGAGAAAGCACCGAGAAAAGTCAGCCTCTGATAATCAAACATGGCAATGGGCAATCACCATCAGTCACCCGTTTATAGAGGTTTTCTATGGTTTTCTTATTTTTCTACAACTTCATGTGTCAAGTGTTTATAGAGGTTTTCTATGATTTTCTTGCACTAAAACTTCAATTATCAAGGATTTTCAAGTCATGTCATGAGGGTATGCCCAGCCATGCCCTGCCCATGCGTTCACCGATCGTGCACTTCCCAAGGTGCTCGGACAGGGCAACTTTTATCTCACGGATCGGCATCATCACGTCGCTGCTCTCCAGCTATCTGACGACAAGGCGCAACGGCCACAGATGTTCACAGCGTTGTTTCCAAAGGGACATCTGAAATTGCCATAAAATTGCCCCTATTAGGCCCTAAAGGTTTTTGCCATGGTTTGGCCAATGCCGATGTATTCGCAGATAAACATATATTGATTTACATATATATATATATAAAAGCATATATAGAATGTATACAGATACCCGTTTACACATCTGTTGTTACTTCCCCCAACTGCCATTCTTGGTTTTTCGTGCATCGCATGTCGGAGAGCCTAAAGCCTGGGCTCATCTGTCCCCAGGATATTTTTGACCTGGAGATGCGGATTTATGTATCTTATCAGCATAGCCAGCTGATCACTGCTGATCCAGCCCTAAATCCATTGGTTGACCAGCATTTTGTCCATTGAAACTGGCAATTTGGGTGGCATACCCTATGACCCTATTTTCAGCCACAGCCACGTTCCCGGATCCACATATCAAGCGCACAAAATGAGGTCATTTGCGATCTAAGATCTTCAGGCAGCGAGATTTTTTGGTCCAAGATGCAGGACTTGAACTATGTCTTTCTGCAGAAACGAGTTGCCTGGTGACTCCATTGGTGGAACGCTTGTTGGGGGCCGGTGGGGATGGGGTGAGTCAATTATTTTTCTGTTTTTCCTTTATGAGTCTTTATGTATTCTACATCCTGTACTTTCCCTCTTTCAATTGACTTTGTATGTCTTAATGATCATGGGCATTGTACATATTTCCATTGTCTTCCCCTTTGCGGTTAGCAAGTCTGCCAAACAATCATGAAATTACCATAAGCACCCAAAGAAGATAGAACGGTAAATGACCATGAATATCCATGAATTACCACTACTTCAGTAGGATGTTCCTTTTCCATGTTTTGGGTGGTTTTATTATGTTTTGTTAGTTCTTACCCTCCAGTAAACTAACAGTTCGATGTGGAGTTTACCCACGATTAGTGTAGATCATTTTCTGAACGGCGGTCCATGGTTTGTCATGGGTTTTTAAAATCTACCCTCTGGTAAACTAACATAGCTATTGAAAATGACCATTGAAATAGTGGATTTACCCATGAACAATGGTGATTTTCCATAGTTATGTTAATTTACCAGAGGGTACCTCCCCCAAGGGTATTAGTTCATAGCCATCATTGACCCAAGGCCTCTCCCTTTGCACTTCCAGTGCTTGCCCGCGAGACGGATTTGCCACAAAGCTGGACCCTAGCCTTGGTGAATGGGGTTGGGTGGCTTGTTTTTCGGCCATAACTTGGACAGAAATATGGGAATGGAAAATGGACTGCAACCAGCTAAGAGTCAAGATAATCAAGGCTTTTTGGTATTTTTTTGGTGTTTTTTTGGTGGTTGGATGGATTCTAGTTGGTGCCGGAAGGTGATTTTAACGTTCACAGCTGAATCCAGAGTAAGTAACAAAAGCAGGATATCGGATGACCCGCTGATCACAATTTCTGCCAAAAAGTTAACTCTTCAACACGGAACGTGTCTCAATTCCCCAACCCTCAACATTCAACCCCCAACCCCCATCCTCCCCATCCTCCAAATGTCAATTCAGCCTATGGTTACCTGGGTTACCAGCAGCTTCAGGACGCTCAACAGCTTCGAGGACGACCTTTGGCGTAGCCTGGCGGGATTTGCGAGTCACGTCTCAGATGAGAAACAGCGCTGCTATGCCAAGAAATGTCAGGACAATGGGTCTGGAAACAGATAGAAAGAGATGACTGCGTATGACTGCGTTATATATTAAATGTATGTTTGCGTATATTCATCTTGGTGGGTGGGAATTACCCTCTGGTAAACTAACATAGCTATTGAACATGGCCATTTATAGTGGATTTACCCATTAAAAATGGTGATTTTCCATATTTATGTTAGTTTACCAGAGGGTATGTGAAATCCATCATTTTCTGTTGGCCGTTCCATTTTCATGGTGCTTCCAGGAGTATTTTGTGGACTTCCAATGGGGCTTTGCCATCAACAAGGCCACGGATGCTTGTTGCGCAAGCGTGAAAATTAGGGGATGGGGTGAGGATGGGGATGTGTTTTTTCAGGATCTTACCCTCTGGTAAACTGTCACATAACTATGGAAAATCACCATTTATAGTGAACTTTCCCATGAAAAAGTTATGTGACAGGTTACCAGAGGGTAATATGTTAACATAGTCTGACTGCTCTTGACCATCAATCAACAAATTTATTGGCTGGTTAGGAGCCAATGTTATGTTGATCAAGGAGCCTGGGTGGTGGTTGAAATATCGTTTTTCTTGATTTTCCCTACATGAAAAATAATATGCTGATCCCAATTGACTTCATTTTCACAGGAGGGCTAGAACCAACAGCTTGAACTTGAAGTGAGCTTTATTCTTGGGTTGCATTTGGATGCTTATATAATCCCTTCCCTTCTTTAACAGCCCCTCAGAAACCATGGTTGAGGAGGGGATGAAACCACAAACACAGATGTATATAGCTGCCGGCTTTCACACACACACATATATATATATATATATTATATTAATATATATTTAAGGGCTGCCGCCCCTGCCGCCGACCCCGGAAGCAAGTATGGTGGATTAGCTACATTTGGTTACTTGTTGAAGCAGGGAAATCTTGGTACCAACTTAAGAAATATATCAATTGCACCCTGCGAGTCGTAGATTCCGGGGTGCAATTTTTGAAGAAGCTGGTAACGTCAATGATACAGATAGAGTTGCTCACTGGTGACATGTCAGGACAAACATTGCAAACACGTTGCTAGTCAGCAGGGATGTGTTATTACAAAGGTTCTTGTCATCCATTATCCTAAGTGCTTCAGAATGGCGCAGCCGCGTCTTTTTGGCTTGCATGAGCGTCGCTATTGTGCATTGCGAGAGCTTGGGGCTTTGGTCTTTGATGAGAGTGGCAAGGTGCAGGGAGTCTTGTTGCCCGAGAGCGTCTGAGCGTAGGGTTCTTCCAAGAGTGGGGGTCTGGGAAACATTTTCGCCTGTTTTCATGTTCATGTCTTTTCGTCTCTTCGCTTGTCATCTTCACATCGTCGCATCTTCTCATCTTAACATCTTCTCATCGTCACACCTTCTTATTCTCAGATCTTCTCCTCATTTTCTCATCTTGACCTCTTCGCTTGGCCTCGTACTCTCTTGCCTTCTTGCCTTCGGCTTCTTTTCGAAGTTGACGGATAAGAAATCTTAATATTGAAACATCCAAGGAACACTAGCTGCAAGAGGATCCGTCCTTTGGGAGCATTTTCACTAGAAGCTTCTGTGTCTGAAAGCGTTTGTGTGTATAAGCGTCTGTGTGTCAAAGCCACACCAGGTTTTTCCCTACATGGACGTGTGTGGTTCCTTTGCCTCCTTCCGTCCTTCGCGCCTCTTCCTCCCTCACTCACTCTCTCTCACTGTCACTCCCTCGCACTCACTCACACTCACTCACACGCACGCGCACTCACGCACTTGCTGTCCGTGACTCACCTTCACTCATGCACTCACTTACTCTCCCTCACTCACGGACTGGCACGAAACACTCACTCACTTGCGCTCACGCACGCACTGTCTCTCCCACACTCACGCTCACGCACTCTCACTCACTTATTCACGCACATTCCCGCACTCACCCACTCACACGCATTCACGCACGCACACTCACTCACTCTCACTCCCTCACTCACTCGCACTCACGCACGCACGCACTCACGCACGCACACTTGGATGTACGCCTTGGTGTCCCCTCGTGCCGTCTGGTCGCCGCAACTTTTGCGTGGCAGGCGCGGCACAATCTCCACTGCCAAGGGGTCGGTTGTACGCCTTGGCGTCCCCTGGTGCCGTTTGGTCTCTGCAGCTTGGTTGGTCTCTGCAGCTTTTGCGTGGCAGGCGTGGCACAATCTCTACTGCAAAGGGGTTGGATGGACGCCCTGGTATCCCCTGGTGCGGTTTGGTCTCCGCAGCTTTTGCGTGGCAGGCGTGGCGCTATCTCCAATGCCAAGGGGCCGGATGTATGCCCTGGCGTCCCCTGGTGCTGTTTGGTCGCCGCAGCTTTTGCGTGGCAGGTGTGGCACTATCTCCACTGCCAAGGGGTCGGAAGTACGCGCTGGCGTCTCCTGGTGCCGTTTGGCCTCCGCAGCTTTTGTGGAGGGGGGAGGCGTGGCACAATCTCCATTGCCCAAGGGGTCGGATGTATGCCTTGGTGTCTCCTGGTGCCGTTTGGTGTTCGCAGCTTTTGCGTGGCAGGCATGGCAGTATTTGCAGTGCCAAGGGGTCGGATGTACGCCTTGGCGTCCCCTGGTGCCGTTTGGTCCTCAGCAAGAACAAGTTTCCTGGGGGCCGGAATGTCCCTTCTGAAATCCTACTAGAAATCCTCTCTCCTCTCTTATATATCCTGCTATCGTGCTAGAATCCTCTCTTATCCTGCTATCCGACTAGAAATCTAAGCGATTCCAATCCACTTTTGATTGCTGCTGCTGCTGCTGGTGGCTGTTCCAGCAAGAAACCAACAGGCAGACACCTTTTTCGAAACACAGCCGCAACGGCGAAACACCACTTAATTTCGTGCCGAAAATGACGCAAAATTAATCGCAAGAACAAGTTCCCTGGAGGCCGGAACGTCCCTTCTGAAACCCTATACTAGAAATCCTCTCTAATCCTGCTATCCCTTATCCTGTCCCTTATCCTGCTAGAAATCGCATCCAATCCAATCCATCCAATGGTGACTGCTGCTGCCAGCTCCCATGCCCTCAAAACAGCTCCACAACGAAGTCCTAGCGGGCGGTTCCGAAACAGCAAAACACCATGGCCCTAAAGGACGGAACGACCTCTAAATCAATCGCAAGAACAAGTTTCCTGGGGGCCGGAATGTCCCTTCTGAAATCCTACTAGAAATCCTCTCTTAAATCCTCTCTTATCCTGCTATCGTGCTAGAATCCTCTCTTATCCTGCTATCCGATCCTCTCTTATCCTGCTATCCGACTAGAAATCTAAGCCAATCCTCTCTTATCCTGCTAACAGGCAGACACCTTTTTCGAAACACAGCCGAAACGGCGAAACACCACTTAATTTCGTGCCGAAAATGACGCAAAATTAATCGCAAGAACAAGTTCCCTGGAGGCCGGAACGTCCCTTCTGAAATCCTATGCTAGAAATCCTCTCTAATCCTGCTATCCCTTATCCTGTCCCTTATCCTGTCCCTTATCCTGCTAGAAATCGCATCCAATCCAATCCATCCAATGGTGACTGCTGCTGCCAGCTCCCATGCCCTCAAAACAGCTCCACAACGAAGTCCTAGCGGGCGGTTCCGAAACAGCAAAACACCATGGCCCTAAAGGACGGAACGACCTCTAAATCAATCGCAAGAACAAGTTTCCTGGGGGCCGGAATGTCCCTTCTGAAATCCTACTAGAAATCCTCTCTTAAATCCTCTCTTATCCTGCTATCGTGCTAGAATCCTCTCTTATCCTGCTATCCGATCCTCTCTTATCCTGCTATCCGACTAGAAATCTAAGCCAATCCTCTCTTATCCTGCTAACAGGCAGACACCTTTTTCGAAACACAGCCGAAACGGCGAAACACCAGTTAATTTCGTACCGAAAATGACGCAAAATTAATCGCAAGAACAAGTTCCCTGGAGGCCGGAACGTCCCTTCTGAAATCCTAGACTAGAAATCCTCTCTAATCCTGCTATCCCTTATCCTGTCCCTTATCCTGCTAGAAATCGCATCCAATCCAATCCATCCAATGGTGACTGCTGCTGCCAGCTCCCATGCCCTCAAAACAGCTCCACAACGAAGTCCTAGCGGGCGCTTCCGAAACAGCAAAACACCATGGCCCTAAAGGACGGAACGACCTCTAAATCAATCGCAAGAACAAGTTTCCTGGGGGCCGGAATGTCCCTTCTGAAATCCTACTAGAAATCTCTTATCTCTTATCCTGCTATCGTGCTAGAACCCCGAAAATGCCTAACGTAACTTCTGAAACCGATAGAAAATGATGCTTTTGGCTCCTTTTTCCTCTTGCTGCTGCTATGAATTTTGGCCACCTTTACAGCCGGTCCCCAAATGGGAAAACACAATGGAAAAAATCACCTCCCGGCAGCAAAACACCATGCCTCGGAAGGACGGAGAAGCCCCAAAATTGCACCTCGAAAATGCCTATCGTAACTTCTGAAACCCATGGCTGGCTGCTGGTGGCTGCTGGTGGCTGCTGGTGGCTGCTGCTGCTGATCCTGCTGATGCTGAGGGCAGCGAAGTCCTAGCGGGCGGTTCCGAAACAGCAAAACACCATCGCCCTAAAGGACGGAACGACTTCTAAATCAATCGCAAGAACAAGTTTCTTGGGGGCCGGAATGCCCCTTCTGAAATCCTACAATGTTGACTGCTGCTGCCAGCTCCCATGCCCTCAAAACAGCTCCACAACGAAGTCCTAGCGGGCGGTTCCGAAACAGCAAAACACCATGGCCCTAAAGGACGGAACGACCTCTAAATCAATCGCAAGAACAAGTTTCCTGGGGGCCGGAATGTCCCTTCTGAAATCCTACTAGAAATCGTCTCTTATCCTGCTATCGTGCTAGAATCCTCTCTTATCCTGCTATCCAACTAGAAATCTAATCCTCCTGCTATCCGACTAGAAATCTAATCCAATCCAATCCACTTTTGATTGCTGCTGCTGCTGCTGGTGGCTGTTCCAGCAAGAAACCAACAGGCAGACACCTTTTTCGAAACACAGCCGAAACGGCGAAACACCACTTAATTTCGTGCCGAAAATGACGCATTAATCGCAAGAACAAGTTCCCTGGAGGCCGGAACGTCCCTTCTGAAATCCTATACTAGAAATCCTCTCTAAGCCTGCTATCCCTTATCCCGTCCCTTATCCTGCTAGAAATCGCATCCAATCCAATCCATCCAATGTTAACCGCTGCTGCCAGCTCCCATGCCCTCAAAACAGCTCCACAACGAAGTCCTTGCGGGCGGTTCCGAAACAGCAAAACACCATGGCCCTAAAGGACGGAACGACCTCTAGATCAATCGCAAGAACAAGTTTCCTGGGGGCCGGAATGTCCCTTCTGAAATCCTACTAGAAATCGTCTCTTATCCTGCTATCGTGCTAGAATCCTCTCTTATCCTGCTATCCGATCCTCTCGATCCTGCCTATCCCGACTAGAAATCTAAGCCAATTCTCTCTTATCTTGCTAACAGGCAGACACCCTTTTTCGAAAAAAACCACAGCGAAACGGCGAACGAAAACACCAGTTAATTTCGTTACCGGAAATGACGCAAACCATATTTAATGCAAGAACAAGTTCCCTGGAGGCCGGAACGTCCCTCTGAAATTACTTATACTTAGAAATCCTCTCTAATCCTGCGCTTCCATTATCATGTACCTTATCTGCTGAAATCGCATCAATCCAATCCACCTCCAATGTGACCTGCTGCTGCCAGCTCCCATCCCCTCAGCTCCACAGCGAAGTCCTAGCGGGCGGTTGCGAAACAGCAAAACACCATGGCCCTGAAGGACGGAACGACCTCCAAAAACATGCTGTCCCGAGGCTTGACGTCCCTTTTGGATTCTGGTAAAAACAAAGCGATTGCAGCTGCTGGGCCTGCTGCTGCTGCTCCTGCTGCTGCTGCTGGTGGTGCTGCTGGAGCTACTCCCATGCCCTCAAAACAGCTCCACAACGAAGTCCTAGCGGGCGGTTCCGAAACAGCAAAACACCATGGCCCTGAAGGACGGAACCACCTCCAAAAACATGCTGTCCCGAGGCTTGACGTCCCTTCTAGATTCTGGTAAAAACAAAGCGATTGCAGCTGCTGGGCCTGCTGCTGCTGCTCCTGCTGCTGCTGCTGGTGGTGCTGCTGGAGCTGCTCCCATCCCCTCGAAACAGCTCCACAGCGAAGTCCTAGCGGGCGGTTGCGAAACAGCAAAACACCATGGCCCTGAAGGACGGAACGACCTCCAAAAACATACTGTCCCGAGGCTTGACGTCCCTTCTGGATTCTGGTAAAAACAAAGCGATTGCAGCTGCTGGGCCTGCTGCTGCTGCTCCTGCTGCTGCTGCTGCTGGTGCTGCTGGAGCTGCTCCCATGCCCTCAAAACAGCTCCACAGCGAAGTCCTAGCGGGCGGTTCCGAAACAGCAAAACACCATGGCCCTGAAGGACGGAACGACCTCCAAAAACATGCTGTCCCGAGGCTTGACGTCCCTTCTGGATTCTGGTAAAAACAAAGCGATTGCAGCTGCTGGGCCTGCTGCTGCTGCTCCTGCTGCTGCTGCTGGTGGTGCTGCTGGAGCTGCTCCCATCCCCTCAGCTCCACAGCGAAGTCCTAGCGGGCGGTTGCGAAACAGCAAAACACCATGGCCCTGAAGGACGGAACGACCTCCAAAAACATGCTGTCCCGAGGCTTGACGTCCCTTCTGGATTCTGGTAAAAACAAAGTGCTGCTGCTCCTGCTGCTGCTGCTGCTGGTGGTGCTGCTGGAGCTGCTCCCATCCACTCAAAACAGCTCCACAGCGAAGTCCTAGCGGGCGGTTGCGAAACAGCAAAACACCATGGCCCTGAAGGACGGAACGACCTCCAAAAACATGCTGTCCCGACGTCCCTTCTGGATTCTGGTAAAAACAAAGCGATTGCAGCTGCTGGGCCTGCTGCTGCTGCTCCTGCTGCTGCTGCTGGTGGTGCTGCTGGAGCTGCTCCCATGCCCTCAAAACAGCTCCACAGCGAAGTCCTAGCGGGCGGTTCCGAAACAGCAAAACACCATGGCCTTGAAGGACGGAACGATCTCCAAAAACATGCTGTCCCGAGGCTTGACGTCCCTTCTGGATTCTGGTAAAAACAAAGCGATTGCAGCTGCTGGGCCTGCTGCTGCTGCTCCTGCTGCTGCTGCTGGTGGTGCTGCTGGAGCTGCTCCCGTGCCCTCAAGTCCTAGCGGGCGGTTGCGAAACAGCAAAACACCATGGCCCTGAAGGACGGAACGACCTCCAAAAACATGCTGTCCCGAGGCTTGACGTCCCTTCTGGATTCTGGTAAAAACAAAGCGATTGCAGCTGCTGGGCCTGCTGCTGCTGCTCCTGCTGCTGCTGCTGGTGGTGCTGCTGGAGCTGCTCCCATGCCCTCAAAACAGCTCCACAGCGAAGTCCTAGCGGGCGGTTCCGAAACAGCAAAACACCATGGCCCTGAAGGACGGAACGACCTCCAAAAACATGCTGTCCCGAGGCTTGACGTCCCTTCTGGATTCTGATAAAAACAAAGTGCTGCTGCTCCTGCTGGTGCTGCTGGTGGTGCTGCTGGAGCTGCTCCCATCCACTCAAAACAGCTCCACAGCGAAGTCCTAGCGGGCGGTTGCGAAACAGCAAAACACCATGGCCCTGAAGGACGGAACCACCTCCAAAAACATGCTGTCCCGAGGCTTGACGTCCCTTCTGGATTCTGGTAAAAACAAGGGGATAAGCGATTGCAGTGCTGGGGCTGATGCTGATGCTACTGAGCTTGCTGCTGTCACTAGGCTGCGCCTGCTGGAGCTGCTCCCTTCCACTCAAAACAGCTCCACAGCGAAGTCCTAGCGGGCGGTTGCGAAACAGCAAAACACCATGGCCCTGAAGGACGGAACCACCTCCAAAAACATGCTGTCCCGAGGCTTGACGTCCCTTCTGAAATCCTAGAGAACTAGCTCTTCAACTAGCTCTTCAACTTACAGCTTCTGAGCCCACCAAATTGTCGGACCCGCCAGCCTGAAACACCATGGCAGGGAAGGACGAAGAAGCCACCAAATCGCACCAAAAAACTCCCTAACGTCCCTTCTGAAATCCTAGAGACCTAGCTCTTCAACTAGCTCTTCAACTTACAACTTCTGAGCCACCAAAACGCCAGACCCACCAGCCTGAAACACCAAGCAGTGAAGGACGAAGAAGCCACCAAATCGCACCAAAAAACTCCCTAACGTCCCTTCTGAAATCCTAGAGACCTAGCACTTCAACTACCTCTTCAACTTACAGCTTCTGACACGCCAAAAACACTGAAGTCCCTGATGTGCCTGCCTTCTGAGCCGCCAAAACGCCAAACCTGCCAGCCTGAAACACCATGGCAGTGAAGGACGAAGAAGTCACCAAATCGAACCAAAAAACTCCCTAACGTCCCTTCTGAAATCCTAGCGAGCTAGCTCTTCAACTAGCTCTTCAACTTACAGCTTCTGAGCCGCCGTTACAGCTTCTGATCCGCCAAAACGCCGGACCCGCCAGCCTGAAACACCATGGCACTGAAGGACGAAGAAGCCGCCAAATCGCATCAAAAAACTCGTCCCTTCTGAAATCCTAGAGAACTAGCTCTTCAACTAGCTCTTCAACTTACAGCTTCTGAGCCACCAAAACGCCGGACCCGCCAGCCTGAAACACCATGGCAGGGAAGGACGAAGAAGCCACCAAATCGCACCAAAAAACTCCCTAACGTCCCTTCTGAAATCCTAGAGACCTAGCTCTTCAACTAGCTCTTCAACTTACAACTTCTGAGCCACCAAAACGCCAGACCCACCAGCCTGAAACACCAAGCAGTGAAGGACGAAGAAGCCACCAAATCGCACCAAAAAACTCCCTAACGTCCCTTCTGAAATCCTAGAGACCTAGCACTTCAACTACCTCTTCAACTTACAGCTTCTGACACACCAAAACGCCGGACCCGCCAGCCTGAAAAAGGACCCCCCACCGGTGAAACAAAAACCCCGGAGTCAAGGAATCGAGGTACGTGACCGGTGGGAGGGGGACCCAACAGAGTCCCCCGGCAAAGGGTCATGGTTTGTTGTTGTTGGTTGTTGTTTCTTGTTGTTTGTTGTTGTTTGGTGTTGTTTGTTATTGTTGTTTGTTGTTGTTTGGGTTTATATTTGTCTTTGTGGTTGTTGTTGTTCTTGTTCTTGTTGGTTGTGGTTGTTGTTGTTGTTGTTGTTGTTCTTGTTGTTCTTGTTGTTGTTGTTGTTGCTGCTGTTGCTGTTGCTAGTTCTGTTGCTGTTGCTCTTGCTCAATGCTGCTGCTGGTGCTGCTGCTGCTGCCTCACATGCCTGCTGGCTGCTGCAAGTATGCCTGCTGGCTGCTGCAAGTCCTTTTCTTCCATCTTCTTCCCTTACGCGCTCCCCCTTGCGTCGGCCGGGGTCGGCGGATATATATATATATATATATTAATGTATCTATATATATTAATATATATACATATATATATATATTTGGGATCATACTTTCTGGGGCTGTTTCATATGGGGGGATGGGATCAGCAACTTCCTGAACGATAGTGAACGCCAGAACAATTGAGGGCACGGCACGGCGGCACGGCCGGATTTGTCCTTATCTTCACAGAGCCGATGAAAGGTCAGTTACCCTCTGGTAACCTAACATAGCTATGGAAAATCACAATTTTTAATGGGTAAATCCACTATTTCAATGGTCATTTTCAATAGCTATGTTAAATTACCAGAGGGTACTGTGGTAAACTAACATAGCTATCTGGGTAAATTATAACGCCCTCACTGTTCTCCCGAACCCTGGAATAGTGGTTAGCAAGGGGAATTATCATGAATTGTCCCAAGAAGAAGCCTTATTTCTGGTTAGTGAATTATTGTAACTTACCCACATAGCTATGGTATAGATGGCCCATTTGTCATTGTTTTAACCTATTCACATGATGATTTGTTCATAGCTAGCAGCTAGGAGGTTACAACTCCAACATATAACTACAGTAGGTTTATTGTGTTTTATTGCCGGTATATCTATACTTGGTTTGGGGAATATAAATAAACTTATAACTAGGTGAAGGTCAGTGAAACTTGAAGAACTGAGGATGGACAATAATCGGCAACTTCATATTTGGGTGGCATAAAATGGTTTAAACATCTATACAAATCACCAACTAATTATATAGGTAAAAGAAATATGAAGCCACAAACAAAGCCATCAAGGATCATGGGCCCCTACTGGGTGACTTGGCCCAGTCGTTTCTGACAGTCTTCGACCTAGGAAGACATTCCGAGCTTGTGGCCTTCCATGGCTCAACAGGCCACCTTTCGTTCGAAGCTGCATGCCTTGCCGTATCCTTCGCCACTTGTCCCATCGATGGTCCTGTTGGGTTTATCGGCCTTGCCGATCTCCGGAAACTCCAAGAGTTGCAGAAAGTGGGGAAGCCTCCAAATATCTCAGGTATTTTTATTGGATTTTACATGAATTTACGGTTTGAATTTGCTTTGTCCGAACTATACAGCTCGGGGCAAAATCCGAGCGGCTCCGAGGCTGAAGGAGGTCGATTTGAAGGCATGGCAGGCGGGACCAAAATCTCTCGCTCCGTTGACTTCGAAGATTTTCCGGGTGGATTTCCTGGTCGAATTGGTCGATTTCCCATGGATTTCCCAGTCATGTTTGATTGTTTGAATTGCCATTGGTTGTTGGATTCCCAGTTGTTGGATTTCCCATTGGTAATCAAATTATCCAACAACTCTGGCACTTTCACAGTTCGCCATGGAAATTTAGCCATGACAATGGATGAGCATAGATGATATAGCGTTTTGTAACATGGCCATGTTCCGTGGCTATGTTGGATTGACAGAGAGCAAAAGATTGGATTTTGTCCAATAAAGATGGAGATGTTGCTGTAACCGCACGGCACTGCAAAACATGATAAGCAAGTTGATTTGTCCAACAAGATCAGTGAATATAATATGTCATATATTTAATATATTTAATATATTTAATATATTCACTGTGAGATCATATCCACTATTAATATATGGGCAAACACCCATCAGTGATTATTATATATATGACTGTGGTAAACACAATCACCATAAATGGGTTGCATAAAAACCATCCCTCAATGGCAGCGAAAAAGACTTGGGAGTTGCAGCCCAGGTCGTCGTCAAGGGGTGGAAAAAGCCCAGTTGTAAGGAGGGGAAGCAGAAGCTTAGTCCATTTATAACTGGCCCTGGGGTTATTACCTATTACCCACTTACGTCTATTTACTGGAGTGAACCGCCAAGTATTTGGTTAATGTCAAGGCCGAATTAATACTCCCTGGCTGCAGATTGAATTGAGGTGGTTACCCACCACATATTCCCCCCTAAAAATAAACACCCCCGAGAAACCGGGATTTTGTAGGGGATGAAACCACATACCCGGGACAATTGTATAAAGTTTTTTCCCCTCATCCTTAAGGAAGGGATGAAACTATGAAATCACACATTATTTTTGAAATGGCTATATCACATTATATCACACCATTAAACCCCAATGACACAAATCTTTTTAAACCCTATTAAACCCCAATGTAACCTTATTGAACCTCATTAAATCATCATAAAAATGGCGACTCCCCTTCCTCCAAAGGCCCGCTTTGCTCGCTCAGGAGCTGGGCCAACTGGCACTGCCACTCTGCCACAGCCAGCGCCTGCAGTCCTTGCCGCTGCCGCCAGGTCACTGGACACGTCGGTGGTGGGAAAAAGCGGGTGATTTAATGGTGATTTAATGATGGTTTATTGGTGATTTAATGGTGGTTTAATGGTGGTTTAATGGTGATTCAATGGTGATTGATTTTTGTATAAAAATGGGATATCAATGGGATAGCAATGGCAATCACTGGATACATATGATGTGGGGAAGCCAATTCCCAATGATTAACGTTGGTAAACCCGGTGCATAAACTGATCCCTGCCATAAATGATAGTTCTATCATCCCCAAGAGGTCGGTTTATGGCATTGGGCTTACCGCATTACGGGAACTTTAAAAGACAACGCGCACCCGGGCGCAACGCCAGGCTATTCCTCTCGCATTCTTCAAGGATGGTCCGCCACGCCACTAGCTCAAGGATCGAGGATTCCATGAAGGAATTTAAAGATATTGAAAGCTGGTTTTTGCCCCATTGGCATATATACAGATATAACAACAATAATTAATAACAATAATAATTACTTCACTTCGAATGATCCCGACCATGACATTTATACATTTTCTTACTGGCAAATCTTCTGGCATTCTATCTGACATATCTTCTGGCATTCTATCTGGCATTCTATCTGGCATATCTTCTGGCATATCTTCTGGCATTCTATCTGGCAAATCTTCTGGCATTCTATCTGGCATATCTTCTGGCATTCTATCTGACATATCTTCCGGCATTCTATCTGGCATATCTTCTGGCATTCTATCTGACATATCTTCTGGCATTCTATCTGACATTCCATCTGGCATATCTTCTGGCATTCTATCTGGCCGTTGAGGTCCGGCAGTGCCCACTGGGATCTGGAGCTTGTGGTTGAGGTCCGGCAGTGCCCACTGGGATCTGGAGCTCGCGGTTGAGGTCCGGCAGTGCCCACTGCGACCTGGAAGTCCCGGTTGAGGTCCGGCAGTGTATACTGCAATCTGCAACTCGCGGTTGAGGTCCGGCAGTGCCCACTGGGATCTGGAGCTCGCGGTGGAGGTCCGGCTGTGCCCACTGGGATCTGGACTGCGAGGAGGAGGAGGAGGCGAGGAGGCAGAGGAGGCGGAGGAGGCGGAGGAGGAGGAGAACAGCTCTGATAAAATCTAACAACCCTCACCTGGCAGGTGGGGAAATAATAATAAATAGCAATAATAACAATAATTAATGATAATGAATAAGGATAATATGAGTAATAAGAATAATTTTCATAATAATTAATAATTCTTTCAAAAACACCATATATATATATACGGCGTCTAGATATGCCTAGATATATATTATGATTATATGTAGTTTTATTTAATAGGTGTATACCAACAATCAGGTTTGCACACACACACACATGCGTTACAAGTACGATCAAGTATGTATATCTACATGTAGTGTGTGAGTGTGTGTTTTCCGGTTTTGGGAACTCCAAATATTTGCTGGAAGATTGCTGGCAAAGGGAGGATTGAGTGCGTTGTCTGCATCAGGATTTATATGGATTCACTGGCACAATCTCTGTATTTAATTTTGAGTGCCAGTTCTTAGCTGATATGCTCCCACCTTGCCAACATCATTCACCCAACCCGTGCTGTTTTGCAACCATCTATAGTCATCCTGGAGAAGATAACATATAGATCAATATGGCATGTTCACAAAAGCTTGCGGAAAAATAGTTTGTTAATTGACAGCCCCGCAGTTCCACATTCTATTTTGTTCAGTTTGTTCAGGATGGTTATAGATTACTGTATAACTTAATATAATTTATAACTTAATATCGGGTGATTAGTGAGAGAAAATATGTAGAGGAGTACCACACGGATATGTGGTATAGTATAATTGTGCTATGTTGTGCTTAAATGTGCACGATTGTAATAATTACCCTCTGGTCATTTAACATAGCTCTTGAACATGGCCATTTATTTATAGTTGATTTTTCCCATGAAAAATGGTGATTTTTTCCCATCAGTTATGTAAACGTTTACCAGGCCGGGTATGATGGATTGATCCTGAAGATGGCAGGGGATTGATCCCATTGGGATTGATCATATTGATCCACTGTCTGGGATTGGTCCCATTCCTCGTGATCCCATAGACCAAAGGATGGCTCTAAGAAACCATTTTTTGACCTACCCTCTGGTAATTTAACATAGCTATTGAAAATGGTCATTTATAGTTGATTTTCCCAATGAAAATGGTGATTTTCCATAGTTTTTTGTATGTTTACCAGAGGGTATTGTGGTTTAACATGGTTTATAGCAACGACCCCCCAAAAGATCGAAAAGTTGGAAACATTGGAAAAGATGGAGGAAAGGTTAGCCAAAAACCATCCTGGTTTCACACTGAAACGGCATCTTTTTGGGGGTTGCGGCCTAGCCAACAAGCTGGCAAGGCCGGTGCCCAAAGATCCAAGCTGCGACTATAGCAGCTGCAGGCAGCGAATGGGAATGAATCTGGTGATTAGATTGTTATAGGTAGTTATAAGCACACTAACCATCATGAAACATCATTAACCATCACTAAACATACTTAAAAATCTATAAACCTATAGATTGAACTTGATTTGTCGAATCACTACACTGGCACTAGTTTTTGATTTATAGGGACTGGATAGACATCATTGTTTGAATATTGTGTTTCGCATGGTGCCTTAGTTTAGCCAGCCTTGCGTCCATATGTGTTCCACAAACTGAAGGGGCAATTTTGGGGTACTATCAATTCGTACCCCATCGTATCCCTACAGGAAAGTGCCCGGCCCCCTAGATAGGTAAGTTGATTTGGAGCTGGGATAGCCATTGGATTTATTGCCTGGTAGGCTAACATAGCTGGGAAAATCGCGATGTGTAGCAGGTAAATTAGCCACAAAATTCGACCATCTATCTCAACACCGGAGGGTAAATCATATTATATCATATGAATCCCTTACAGAAAAACACCAACAGAGATTCAACACTTTTACATGGATATCACCATTTCACAGAAATGGATGATGGGAAAAATCACAGGCAACCCCTATATTTGATGATAAAAACCATGGTTTCCTGTGGATGTTCCCTTAAAACAAATCCATTGAACAAACAGTCCGGGGGCGCCCTCCTAGGGCCCGGCAGAAAGCGAAGGACGAGCGAGATCTCGTTGTGGTCTAGGCGGAAGGGTGTTGTTTGTGTTCGTCATGTGCTGTTTCCCCAAGGCTGTAATGGTGGATTTAAGTGGCGGTAATAGGGTATATGCGGTATGTATCTATCTATCTATCTAAGTATCTATCTATCTATCTATCTATCTAAGTATCTATCTATCTATCTATCTATTTATCTATCTATCTTTCTTTCTTTCTTTCTTTCCTTCCTATCTATCTATCTATCTATCTATCTAAGTATCTATCTATCTAAGTATCTATCTATCTAAGTATCTATCTATCTATCTGTCTATCTATCTATCTGTCTGTCTGTCTATCTATCTGTCTATCTATCTATCTATTTATCTATCTATCTTTCTTTCTTTCTTTCTTTCCTTCCTATCTATCTATCTATCTATCTAAGTATCTATCTATCTATCTATCTAAGTATCTATCTATCTATCTATCTATCTATCTAAGTATCTAAGTATCTATCTATCTAAGTATCTATCTATCTATCTATCTGTCTATCTATCTATCTGTCTGTCTGTCTATCTATCTATCTATCTCTCTTTCTCTCTATCTCTCTATCTCTCTATCTATCTATCTATCTATCTATCTATCTATGTATAGCATAAAGATAATGAATGAAAAATGAATAATGACTGTAATGGACAACGGGTGATTTTCCATTGCCATGTTTGATGAGGGGAACCTCTATATCCATATCCAAGATGTAGACAGACGAGTTTGGGAAATCACCAGAGAGTTGCAGCTTGCTGGAACAGCTGCGACGATTGGTTCGCCACGGTTCCCGACGGCCGGATAGCTAGATATCATAAGATTATTGGAATTTAGGAACGGGGACATTGTGAGTTGACATGAAGTTCATTTGTACCTCTGGTAGTTCGTGGGTGAGACCATATTCTCTCCATCAAGTCCTCAAAAGCACGTGTTTGGAGAAACTTTTTGATATTTGTTCAATTTTGCGCAAGAGCCACTCTAACTCACCTTGTCAAAATATCCATTAGAATTAGAATCCAACTGTTTTATGGTTATTCCCCGTAGTTCTGTTGGTGAACGCGTTATTTGCCGGCGAACTCACCATTTTGTTGTTGACATCACCCTTGTTGCCAGCGAAATCATATTTTTTGGTTAAGTCATCACTTCTAATTATAAATATTACAATATCTTTCTTGTAGAATAAACATGTTTTGTTTGTAAAATCACAATGTTTGCTTGAATCACCATTTCACTTGGACGTTGCTGGGCCACTTTTTCTCACAAGAGAAAACCATCTCCCAAGGTGTCTTGTTGAGTGAGATCAGTCGCAGCCCGCAACCATTTGTACGGTGGGTCTGCGAACGCATGTCTGATGGCTGGTGGTTGGCGTGTTGGTTCATCCGACTTTGAATGTGTTCTTGTGACAAACTTTCACTATGTGTGGATAAACTGAAGGCATAAACACATTGGCTTGGGGTTGCAACAGGGGCGCAGAAGTGGCTTGCCATGAATGAGAACACTGTCCATATGGGTGAAAAGACGCCACCCACAAATTCGCCAGCAATTCACTGTAGGATAGGATCTGGACTGGGTGATCTTCCCACCTTTTAGAGCGAGGCAACTTCCAGCTGTGCTGAGTCTGATCCTCTGCGGGATGCGGTTTTGTGGTAGAAAAAAACATGCCGGACCGGACTCTTTGCTTTACAACTTTGGAATCATGACTGTCCATTCAGTTCAGCTGGTACCCCCATGTTTGATGGCAGTCGATGATTCCTGCGGAGTATAGGCCATGCTTTCACAAGGGGCACTGCCGTCTACTCAATTGCCCTCGCCGGCACATCATTAGCCTTTCAACATCATGGCAACATTCATGGCAAGGAAAGATGCCCTTTTTCAATACATTGGTAGGTTTAGCCCTGGCTTAGCGGACACAGGACAGTTTCTGCAAGTCTCAGAGTTCCTTTTGCACACTGGTAAGATCTATTTGCAAGGATTATCTTTCGAAACTTTCAACCTTGTTCCAGCTGTTTTTTTTGGTTTCCTCCATGATTCATGGATTTTATTGGGAGGCTACTCCGTTTTTGGAAATCCCTCAGCAAACACTCAATGAATAGCAATGACTGATGGATACTGCTTCCACCACCGAACAGTCCCACGCATTTCATAGACACCACTGGGGCCCGGGCTCGACAAAGCTTCGAGCTTCCATGCCGCCCATCTCTTCCCTGTGAGAGGCTGTCGCATCCATCCACCGGTTGAGCATGGTTGAACACCATTGTCACGCATAGTCCCTATACTAAACAAACTAAAGGAGCCAAAATTCGGGGGGCATGCCGGGCATGCCCCATGTTCAATCGCACACCGGGAGAGTTTGCCGAGATCACCCATGATCACCCCAGATTTCTGAAATGGGCATGGGTCAAAACCTATTATCAGTTTTAGTGGGATGAACACCCATTTGCCAGCTATTTTGTTTTTTTGGCCAGGGTTTTGACCCATAGCCACAATGCAACGACTCTTCGTAAACTGTGATTTGTTGCCACATCCCAGCTGAACTCAGGTGCCATGGGGCCACGCCGAATTGAGGCCTCCGAGAGGGTCCATCAAGGATTCTTTAGAGGTTGGTTTCTTTCTATGCTGAGCCCTGAAACGATCAGAAACTATCAAGCCCAAGGAGCCACAGTTTCTTGGGTATCATCGGTATCAATGGCCTGGTCGCTGGAAGGCTTTCTTGACTGATCCATGGCAGGCAGGCGACGGCAGGCAGTTTTTGGATGATATCATGTGGGAAAGCCAACGATCAACAAGTACCATTTGGGGATGGTTTATAACATCCATTTCTGGATATTTCTGGTGATTTTGAGGATAGGTTTTGATGGGGTTTGCCACATTAATCTGCTTAAACTCAAGGTGCCGAATGTGCCGAAGGTCTTATTTTGGTAAGGAGTTGCAGCCAGAATTTTAACACGGCAAGAAGCCAAGCATGCACAGGAATTCAGATGCGGACATGGTTTGTCCCAAAGCATCCCAAAACCCCCAAATGTTGTGTTCCAACAATGCGTTGCAGAAACTTTCATGGAGGTGGTCACAGTTTTGGACATGCATACGTAATTGTTGTACCATTGTGATTGCGCAATTAAAAAAAAGCTGGTGCTTGCTAGTTATTTATATTGTTGTATGTTGTAATGATCAGCCATTGCATGGCGTCTGTAAAAGCATCACATTTTGGGACACACACACACACTGACACATGCGGTGTTGTTTTATATTCCGAGTGCCACGTTGGTCGATCTTCAGTTGTGGTTGAGTCCCAAGTCAACAAATAGGTCTTCAACACCCACGTGCTTCCTCGTTTGATCCAATCTCAATGTTTGTTGGATAGTGAATCCCAGAGTTTTTCATTTTAAACTCCATCTTTGATCTGGTTGGTGGTTTGGAACATGAATTTTCTTTTTCCATATATTGGAAATGTCATCATCCCAACTGACGAACTCATATTTTTTTAGAGGGGTAGGTATACCACCAACCAGCCATCTTTGAAACGCCATGTTTGTTGGATTTTGTTGGCGACCTCCCCATTTGACCTCGAGGCATCCCCGACGGACGTCATTGGAGGCGTGACCAGAATCATCGACCTATAACCGGCAATGGATCATTACCCTCTGGTTTTTGAACATAGCCATGGAAAATGGTAATGGCCCATAGAAATAGATGTTTTTTGATGATTTAGATATTTATCATGGTGATTCTCCAGTTCGCTACGTTAAATAAGCAGATGGTATTGGTTCACCCTCCGGTGGCGTGAAATATTGGCTGGGAAATACCTCGAAGATCCCCGAACAAAATTGGCATTTTGGATGGGAGAATCATCTGAGAAACATGAAACTAAATCTGATTTTTCCGTTGCCATGTTTGATTACCAGAGGGTAAAGCCAACTAGAACTGCGATATCATGGGGAGCCAACAATCTTGGATGGTTCAACGACCGTGGGTTCCATTGGTTCCACTCCCAGTTCCCACACGCATCCAATGCCTACAAAAGTGTATAGTATTTTTTCATGTCACATGCATATATCATATCTCTATATCAAAAGGTAGATGTATTTATCTATATTATTCTATATTTATCTCAAGTTATGTCTACCTCTATATTTTGTCAAGTATCATAGATCTATAATGATCTAGAATTATCTATCTATCTTTCTATCTATGATATTTGGGTATGGGTCAAAATTAGGTACCCCAATAATTGGATGGTTAATACTAAACTAGACTAACATCTGTGGTCCCCTAGGTCTTCCATTTTGACCCACATCCATTTGTATCTATATGATATTCACTGATACCCTCCGGGAATCACCAGACCTGGAACATCTCCAGGAGCTGTGGGGCGAAGCTGGCGAAAGGCAAGGCGGCTCTCCAGCTTTCTGCAGGCGCGGAAATCGGGAAATCCACTGGGGAGGTTTTCGATGGCAAGATCTATAAATGGGAAATCCCTATATATATTAAGAAATGGTGGTTTTATGAGTGGATTGATTTAATCAGAATAGTTGTCAACTAATAGATATGAACTAATGGCTGGTTGGTGGTTTGGAACATGAATTTTATTTTCCATAATATATATTGGGGATGTCATCCTTCCCATTGACGAACTCATATTTTTCAAGATGGTTAAAACCACCAACCAGATAATATCTATAATTAGATCAATGGAGGTTCACTTGTATTAATATCCATAATTAATCTATATTCACATGGAGCTTGGTGTTATAATCATGGAGGTTGATGATGAATCGTCTTTTATATTTTTTTGCTAGTATAGGAACCCCCAGACAGATAGAAAGTCATGCATCATTGAAATTTGAGTAGGATTTTACTCTCTATTTTGTACGGGTTACAATACGTGGTGGTGCATACCACACGCATATGCACACGTGTATATATATATATAATATATATAATTATACCTTACCATATAAAGCATAAAATAGAACATGTATATTATATTGTCTGCAAAATATGCATGCCGTGTAAACGGAGCATCCATTTTTGGGCAGGGTATCTAATATCAGCCATGATTACTACCAACATGTTGACAATTAGCAGTTGCGATCATGTTATGGTTATAACTAGGTTTAACTATAACAAGCAAATCTAGACACTATAGCCACACCCTTAATTACGTCAAATGGTAACTTCATTTGGGTCAGAGGGTACGGGAACCATTGGCTTGGGCATCTTGGGCTATCCTCCCCACGATGGTCCTGGTTGTGATTGGCAATCTGGGTTGGTACCGCAACTCAGCATCTGTCAGCGGATTGATTTACAGAAGGGAACCAATACCACCCATTTGTTTGGTAAAATTGGGGATGGCTTACTATTGCTTTACACACATTAAGCACCTTTTACTTTGATCCATCGGGGTTTCCTGCGCATGCTTCCTTCATCCATTTCCTAGGACATGTAAACCCTGGATTAGAAACTTCCCACTTAAAATTCCAATCAATTAAGCAGCCACCAGGCCTATGCCAATGATAGATCCAAAATACTGATCGTTGGATAGGGACTAGTTGAATCATAAATAAACTGTTTGTCAATAGGGCCGCCAAATAAAAAGCAAACATTCCAATGATAAATGGCACCTCCCGAATCTAGTCACGTGGTGGTTCCCTGTTCCGGGCAGAGAAACCTCGTGGTCGATTTACCGGCATATGATGGGCAACCGCTCGCTGGGTTACCTTCAGATTCGGGTGAGTATAATTTTACACGCACCCAGGTTGATACAAACAGTGAACAGTTGGCTTTCTCATCCCGGCGAGGAAAGCACGTTGATATAGAAATGTCATTTTGTGTTTTGAGCGTAAAAGATGGGGAGAGCAATCAAACAGCAGAAGCGGGATGCAAACCATGCCAAATGGACCGGATTCGATCGTGATATACCAAAGACACACACGGATACAATACATTATCGACTGTGATGCTCGAGTGATGTTGGCATAAGTTTATTTCCATTTATTTAGGAGCTGTATCCAGCCCCAAAAAATGCCGAATCTGAGGTTTTTGCAACAGCCGAAGAGAGAGAGAGAGAGAGAGAGAGACAAACAGAAAGAAAGAAAAAAAAGAAACAAAAAGAGAAAGGACAAAAATAAATAAAGAACAAAAGGGAAATAAAAAACAAACAAAAACAGAAAACGTGTGCCTTTGCTGTAACATGGTAATTTATTCCAATAATAAACCTCCAACATGATAATTAATTCCAATAATAAACCTCCAATGTTGGAGTGTTCATACAATCCATTTCTGGTGGGGATGGTTTATTAACATTTATTGTGCGACTTACCACGCTATACACACATCAATGTGTTGCTAGTGATATCAACACACATTCCGGATGTGCAACGTGCAACAGGAGGAGACAGCTGCGAAGAATGATTGGTTCAAGGACTGACCTTCAGCGTGAATCTTCCAGGCACTGCCTGTGTGAAAAGGTGTATTTCTGAACAGAGAGCTACGCTGCTGCACACATTTGATCTTTTTTATATTCATCCTGGATTTTTGGATATGTTTTGTAAAACATCATCACCACCATTGGAATACCATCTGGTAATTTAACATAGCTATAGAAAATAACCATTTTTAATAGGTAAACCATCTATTTCTATGGGCCATGTTCCATAGCTATGTTAGTTTACCAGAAGGTATGTTTGACAAAAACATATTCTAAATACTTCAAGATGACTCCAGGACCCAGATCGCTTCTCCCCATGGCTCTGGCGGAAGCAGTGCGAGGCTGAGAAACGGCGAGACGCGCCATCCCCCCAGGAGGCACATAGGACAGGCTACACCTTGGGAGACAGGAAGACACTTTGTTATTTGTTATTTGTTTACACAGCTACAATCTACTGTATACATCTGTTATTTGGGGTTTGGGGACGCAGTTTGATGATTTTGTGGATTCTTGCAGGTCGTTTAGCTCAGGTCTTTGTGCACTCTATGCCCCATCAATCGGTCAATGATATCCAAGTTATCCATGGGGGCTCTATTTGTTGTGCATATTATAGAATATTATAGATACCTATCCATGAGAGGGTGACCATATGTTACCATAGTTGGTGGTTTCAACAAGTTTCTTTTCCATCCTGCAATGCTGGGGCCATGTGGGGCCATTAGACCCCATTACCTGATGTCACCAATACTAAGGCACAACTACTTCTTGGACCGAGGGGCTAAGCAGGGCTGACGTGTTTTGGGACTTCGTTCAGCCTGGGCCCACGTGAATGGTCGTGACAGGCTTCATCTCATGGAGAGGCCTGCTACATTTATAGAGCGGATTTTTTTCCAGCATGGCTTGCACTTTTTTGGTATGCGCAACACATAATATATATATACATTCATCATGTAATCATGATTACATGACAGCAATTTGTTCGAGGAGAACTTCGACCCCAAAAAATCTGGGTAGCAACAGCTGCAGCGCCAGGTTTATGTTGGTCTACAAGACGCCCACGATTGTGAGCACCGACCTTTTTGATTTGGAGAAGCTTGGGGACCCCAGGAGCACCGAAGGGATCCGCCTTCTCGGGATGTTTCCCGGATTTGATTCCAAGAACAGTTTGTTTGGAACCACTGGAAAGAGAGAGCCAAAAGTGATTGATTTGGGCTGCGAAGCTGGATCAACCCGCCGCCGGCCCGCCTTTGCAAGATGGTTAGGAGGTGCACATGTCGAAACTGGCTGGCTTTCAAGCTATTTCACAACGGCAGAAATCAGAACTGATAAGAACATAAAAACATCATCTGGTATGTCAAAATGATAAAAAAACAATCAGAGCTCGTACCTCTAAAGCCATTGAAATGCATTCAACGTATCCCTTTGGTGTGTCAACTCAGCTAGTTCAGCATGTTGACAATCAAAAATATCCTGGACCCCCTGGGAAGAAAAGGATAGAACGATGAGAAACTCCAGCAGGACAGTTTTCTTGCAACATGTCAGTTGGAGACATGCATCCAGGTCATTCAAATTCGGCAGAAGAATCAAGGACTAAACCTGGTTGTGCCATGGCACTCTCGCTGAACGTGCCACAAGGACCACGCGATGAGAAGAATAAAGGACGGGACACTAGCTTTTAGTTTTTTGTTCTCCAAGTTATGTGGATTTTAGCAATTCAATAAAAAATGCGGTAAATTATGGGGCAGGCATGGGCAAATTGAAAGGATGTGATATGATGTGATTAATTACATATATATAATTATATATAATTATTTATAGTTATATCCATAATTATATATATATATATTTATTTGTTTATTTGTTTTTACATATTTATAATATGTATATAATATGTATATACGAAAATTATGTGAAATTACAGTGTTGGCAAATGATATCCAACCAGCCGACAACAAATTTGCTTAGGGGGAAGCGTGCCAACATTGGCGCATTTCTACTGTGACGCAAAGTCAATGGTGAATTCCAGGGGGCCGCTGAAGTACCCTCTCACCTCCCCAGTCTTTCATCCACATCTACTTGGTGGCGAACTACCCACTTAGTAAGTGGGTTATAACCCCAGTTCTAAATGGGATAAGTAGGGTTAATCCACTTATAATTGGGGTTATAACCCACTTACTAAGTGAGATGAGCCACCAAGTACACATATCTCATTGTATCATCCTTGCTGCTGCCAATGTCGTGAGAATGCCCGAGGAAAATTGCCACAGCTTGTCATCCATCTTACCAGCCATCTTTCCTGGTATATAATTGATTTTCAACAGTGCAAACTCAGCTTGCCGATTTTGCCTCAAGTTAACTTAGCCAGCTATCTCCCAGCTATAAAAGTTTCGAACCCAGTTTCCGACTGTTGGCCAACATCACTTGGGTCATCTGATGAGAAACACTATTGCAACCACCTTCAGTTTTTTTCCATGTTTAAATCCATGTTTGCCCCATTCGATCCCTTTTTTCGACGATTTTCGTTTTTTTTGGCGGAGAAAACCATCTGAAGCCCCACATGGATCTTCACGCTGTAAGTTCAACCCCAATGACCGATTTTTATCCGAGTCTGGTAACCCAACAACGGCACCACTTAAGGGGCTGTTGGGGATTGCGTACACCACGCATTTTCTGTTAAATTTGGGGGTTGTTTATCATTGGGCTTACAGTACCACATCAAGAAGAAAAAACATTGTAAACCTCCTACCCTATCACATTTAGTCCCTATTATGCAGCAATTTGCATGCTTAAATCAACTTAAATCAGCATTGATTCCCACGTATTGTCGCTTAAATCCCACTTGTTTCGTCATTTCCTTTGGATCAACATGTCTGTTGGTTAAATCCAACAGGTTTCACCAGTTTTGTTGGTGAAATCCATTTTTTCCAGCAGTTTTAAAGTGAAATCATCATCCCCAGCAGCCCATCTCTGACCAGATGAGCTGAGCGAGCGCCGCTCGGAAGAGCAGCGCTCCCCCGGCAGCGCGGCGCTGCCGGTGTCCACCGCGGCGACGCCCAAGCGGCAGCGACCCGTGGTGACGGTCGAGGAACATGTGCCTTGACCTCGGAACAGCGTCTTCGGTGGGGCTGAAGATAACTCTCTGGTAACATAGCTGCATAGCTGTTGAACATTGTTGAACATGGCCCATCATCATCATCATGGCATTGAGTTCATTGAGATATGATGGTGATTTTCCATAGGGAGTTTACATAAATGGGTAAAATCAACGGATAATTCATGGACAAATGGCGCTGGAGAGAGAGAGAGAGAGAGAGAATTCATGGACAACTATTGGACAATGGAATTTCACGGGGATAATCAATCGATAATCTACAATCCTAGATTTGCTGATGATTTGGAGCGTTTTTTTTCCAATGGGGGACCTGCACTACTTAGGGGATCTATATGGATCTATAGGTAATCCAAGCCTTTGGGGCAACTGGGGAGTGCAGAAAACTTAGAGTTAGCTATGGTCTGATGGCCCAATTGAAATTAGTTCGATTACAAGACTTACAAGCCCCCAGAATCCCAACCCCCAGACATCAAAATGCCCATACTGACTGGCCCATATTACATCAATATCACCACTTCGCTTTTACTTCAAGTATCTTCAAGTCACTCTTAGTAGCCCAACTTGTTCAGGACTTTTTTGCAGCTAAAATCAACCAGTCCTTGTGCTTCAGTGATTCCCCTTGACTCTTTGAGAGGTGCCCGAGCGCGTCCACTTGGAACTTCCATCCCTGGTGCGACATCGCTGGGAACAGCGTGTGCTCGCAGCCAGGGCCAGGACCGCGGCGCCCAAAGGGAAAGATCCCCCCTTGAAATGGCCACCTGGCGATGCAAAGGGCTGGTGAAGAGATGTGAAGGGATGATGATTCATGATGATTGATGATTCATGGGATGATGATTGATGATGATTGATGATGTTTGTGATGATTTATCTGGAGTGTTGATGTTTTCTATTGTTGTCTTTTCTTCGGGAAGGGCTACGCTTTGATTTGTGTCAAGGAATTATCGAGTATATCAAGCTTGGGAGTGATAGAAGATGAGCATCATGATAACAAACGCCGCTATGATTGATGCAAATAAAGAATGTCAGGGGCTCCATTTCCATGGCAACGTCAGCTTGAGTAGATGTCCGGCGCACCAAGCTTCGTGTCGCAAGATGTTTCCAACCCAAGAGATCTAATCAATCTAATCCTCAAACATCATAATCACATCACATCAGTTCATATCAAATCATATCAAATCATCCATCCTCACCCTGGCCATGGCCATCCACCCCCACCCCGTCCCCTGGGGTCCCCTGGGTCATCCTGGGTCATCCTGGGTCATCCTGGGTCCGTGGAGGTACAGCCAGCAGCTGGTGGAGCTCTGCGGGCCAAGAGCACTGCAGCTGGCGCCCCAAGTGCATCAGCTCGAGGAGCATCGCCTCAGTCGTCCATGGTCCCTTGGCATCCCGAAACGCCGAAACGCGCAGTGGAATCCTGGGGATGGTGCTGAAATGGCGCAGTCCGAATTCCAAATTCGGTGATATTTCAGATTGGTTCTGATTTCGATTTTCTGAGTATTTTATTTTGATGTGGGGTCAGAGATGATTCTGTTTATGTTGTTTCGGGGATCCAAATCTGAGCCGCAAGAAATATCGGGAGAATGATTGCAGCTGTCGAGTATTGATTGGTGTAGGCTTGCAGTTCGATTTCTTCGTATTTCTCCATTTCATCGATTTACATCGATTTACTAGTATCATTATTTATTATTCTTTGGGGGTGGTTCATGCTGGAAAGCAAAGTATTGTTGGTGACATATGATGCCACCAATATCCTTGCATTTTGGCCGCATTTGGATTTGTGTGGTGAAGAGTTCACCCTCGAATTTCAATCTGCATGTGTTGCATGTTTTATTCTAAGCGTCCTATTCCTTTGATATCCAACAACAGGCTTGCAACATGCGCTTGTCCAATATTCTAAAATATATAGCCCCTCGTCCCTCGTGGTTGGGGTAGCAATCCTGTTTATATAACCCTTAAGTTTAGAGCAGAAATGCAACACATGGCCGAACAGCTGCAGATGTGCTGGATTCTTGGAGTTAACACTGAGGATTTGGAAGGAAGGTGGCCACTTGCCAGTGATGCTGGAGCAGTGCAGTGTGATGTTGTGCGAGGCAAGCCAAGTGGCAGAAGCGGTAGCTTGGCAGTCGATTGTTTTAAGGGCTCGGATGGAGGACAAAAACCTGAAGAATAATGAACCAGTAAGAAAGAGGGCTTAGCCATCAAACAGAGGGAAATCACAGGTGAAAATGAGAAACATTGAGAAACTAAGCAAACTTGGGTGGGTACGGATAGTACCACTTGGAGGATCATCCCAGTTACATGGCAAGATACGGATGTTTAGTCAATAATTATTTGGGCTTGAACCTACGAGCTGGTGAGAGAATATGTAATGGTGATTCAATGGTTGGTACATGTTGGTACTAGCTAGTAACAGTAAGTATTTGATTTTTTGTCTATATATATATATATGTGTGTGTGTGTGTTGTGTGTGTGTGTGTGAGGCAGCCAAAAGAAATTACTGGCACAGTAGAATACATTAGAATATATAAGAGTGGTTCTATCTATTGTCACAACCCTGTTAAAAATGATACAATCAGGGTGGGGGAAGTTGCCCTTGATGGCCATCAACTGGGATGTCCAGTCCATTCTGTGGTCTCTGGGTGCCCGCAGCCCTTAGCTGTGCTGTTCTTTCTGGGATGAGTATCTCCCGATTCCTTTAAACCACCGTAGAATGTAACCCCGAAAAGCATGCCCAAAAGTGGGAAGCCTGGACACATGAAGTACATATCATCGAACTAACATCCTGGTTGCATGCACGCTTCTCTATCAATTTTCTATCTTTTTGGGGGTTATTAACGTTTTTCCCATGTTTTCTCATGTGTTTCTATATTTTCCCAGATTATCCCCCATGTTTTCCTATGTTTTTCCCATGTTTTCTCTAACCAGCCCATGTTCTTGGCGACAAGTATTCTCACAACCCTGGAGGTGTTGTCATTTTTTTCTCATGCCACATGGGTGGGCCGGGGTGGGGTGGGGTGGGGCATTAACGTTCTTGTTTACTTGCCGAACGGATACACCACATTATGATACCTTCTCTTGCACTTGAACACACACACACACACTGGATGCTACGTTATGATTTCTTCTCTTGCACTTGCAGACACGCTTGATGCCACGCTATAATGATATCTTCCCTTGGACAATGGATTTTGAGGCACAAGTTGGGCAAAGTGACAACTGAGCGACAACATGCAGGAACTAGCAAAACGTGAGTTTTTTTGGTGTATATTGAAGTCAAAAACGCCGGGGTTGCGACGAACCCCAAAGGCCACCCAAGCGCTCCTCTCCACTGGGCCTTCCACGGTCATCGCCTCGGTCCGTGCGGTGCGCGAGAAGTGTTTCCGGGCCACGGATGTGGAGCCGAGCATCCACGCCTGTGTCTTGGTCCAAAATTTTAGTGAGGAATGAAATGCCAACCAGTTTGCCGGCAAATTTTTGGGTTGCAAAACGCAATCAAAATGAAGCTGGAAAGATCCGGTTTTTTTAAATTGTACGCAACCTCCCATAACCTCCCATTTTTTGTTCTCACTTGTCTCGGGAGACGCTGATTTTTCGGCTTATTTCTTCTCCTGTCAACTGGACCGAAAGTTTGGCAGGTTCAATCCTCAAGTTCCACTGCTTCAACCCCCATTTGATCTGAGCAAATCCCAGTTCTTTTGGGTCGAACCCCTTCCAAAAATATCCCAAAAATTCCCAAAATGACTTTCGATTTGAAACTTAGCCTGAAATCTCTCAATCAAATCTCCCAAAACTGCGGTTAAATTGAATTTCATTGGATTTCTATATGGATCCTGTATATATATATATATGTATATTTTTTTGTTCCCAATAGAATCCCCAGAAAATATTTTTCTATATGAATTTCATTTCATGTTTTATCCCCAGGCCCCAGGCCATCCCAGGCCCCCAGCATCCCAGGCTTGGAATGCAGCACGGCCGAGGAGGCCATGGCCCTGGCGCAGGTGGAGCTGGCGCGGCTCCAAGGTGCGAATCCCGGGGACCGTTGAATTCGGGGAAAAAAAGGGGAGTTCATAGGGATCTACTAGGGGGTTTAGTGGATGTTAATGGATTTTTGTGGATTTTAGTGGATTTTTAGTGGATTTTTAATGGATTTTAATGGATTTTTAATGGATATTAATGGATTTTTGTGGATTTTAGTGGGTTTTAGTTGGTTTTTAATGGATTTTAATGGATTGCTAATGGATGTTAATGGAATTTTGTGGATTTTAATGGATTTCACTGGGGCTTCATCAAATTCAGGGTCAACTTTTGTGGGGTTTGAGGTTGAAGAGTTTTTTTGGAAGGTGATGTGCTGGCTGGTTTTACTGGGGCTTGATGGAATTTAAACTGGTTTCATGGAGATTCAATGATTTGTATTTTATCAGGACATAATATAGTGGGAACATATCATCAGAATATGCGCTTTCTTTTCAACTTGACATGTGTGGTTTTCACTGACAGTTTTCACCGACATTTGGCCCATTAAAAGTTACGACTGACTGTTTTATGTTTTGTTGTTCCCTCCTCTCATGTTTGACATGAAATTTTCAAATGAATTAATTAACTTGATCAACAAACAATGGATTTAGCCAGCACATGCAAAACGCAGAAACGTGTGGCTTCGATGTGGCTTCGATAGCCGGGACAGAAATGGGATATAATGCACAAGACAGCAGGGGTTTCATGGAATCCAGTCAAGATGAGGATATAATACTGTGGATGGAAGAAATCCTGCATCACCTTGGATGGTTGAAACCCTATGAAGAATGGGATGTTGCCTACCGTTTTCAACTGGGGATTTGGATTTCTTCCATCAACCATCTGCTGTAAGATATCATCCACCGTTAAGTCAGCGTGCGGCATGAAGTCACCGACTGGCACTTTCCAAGGGTCATCCATTGGATGATCTGACTGCTGATCTGTAGGTTTGAGAGTTCAAGTTCAACATTGCCGCGTATATATATATATATATACACACATATATATATATATATGGATACCATACATGTAAATAGTTATGCTGCCACTTCAAAATATATGAATATAGATCACCTTTTGGAGAATCAGTATGTTTTACAGAAGTATTCTTAAAACTGGAGGGTCTCCAAAACCAGAGGTCATTACCCAGCCAATGTTTCGTGATTTTACTGGGAACATGATCGCGGTCCTGCAGTAGATACCCCATTGGTCCCAGATCAGTTTCGCGGATGCATGTGCACGCGCACCCATGCATCATTACTCATGTATACACCTACTGTACAACCACACACAGCCCCTCTCTGTCGGTACATGTGCCTAAACATATCTAACAACCTTGGGCAGTTGCAAAAACAGACTCAATTATCCCGCGGTTTATCCACACATGTCCCTCACAAAAGGATGGAACCGCTTCAATTTACCACAATTTTTGAAAACCATGTGTTCATCATTTTACCAAATTCACGAGTTCCATATTCTGAGTGATGAATTTGGTTCACTTACGGTCATTTACCATCACCTACCATCTTGTACCATCATTTTTAGCATCATTTGTACCATCATTACCATCATTACCATCATTTTTACCATTATTTTTACCAGCATTTTTACCATCATTTTTACCATCATTTTAAGCATCATTGGAACTTGGAGCCATCATTTGAGCCATCATTTGTACCATCATCTGAGCCATCATATGAAGCATAAATTTTCATCTTCGGAGTTTGCCGCGCCACAGGTGCCGGTTCTGCCCTGGGCTGTGCCCTGCGCAGCTGTCGATGGTCCACGGAGCTGCGCAAGGCCTTTGAAGATGATCAGCTGTGGCAGGACGGATGGGTGCGGGGGGTTGGGGGGTGGAGGTTGGGTGGTTCATGAAGTCTATGAATACTATACTAACTATATACTATATACTATATACACTATATTATATATAATATGTATAATATGTATGTTATGTATAGTTGGCATTAAGTGCTGTTTTTCAAGATTGCCATGGGGTACCAACTTATAGGGATGCTGGGGGTGAAACTCTGTCAAAGAAATGGGGGTTAGCGAAAAAATGGGTGTCTGAAACTGCAACAAATGAAGCTTTCTGGGTAAGAAAATGTATGGACTGAGGCAGACACAAATTGCAACATTGTAGATTTGACACGCAAAATTGCATCCTTGAAATGTGTGTTTAAGTAGCAAACATTGATCGTGATTTAGCCATTGAAACTGAAGATGTACTTATTGAAAACTCATTCACACACACATTATATATATATATATCATATCATCATATATCATATAATATAATCATGTATCATGTAATCATATACCATATAATCATATAATAATATATGCGTATATATATATATTATTTACCTATATGATGTAAGATGAACCCCTAAAGGTGGATTGGACGATACGAGCAAGACTGGGTGGCTGGAGCTGTAGCCCACTACAGTGGTTGGTCAATCACTATCCAAGTTCTCACCTTGATGAAGTCTACCCTCTGGTAATTTAACGTAGCTATTGAAAATGGCCATTTAAAGTGGATTTTCCCATTAAACATGGTGATTTTCCATAGTTATGTTAGTTTACCAGAGGGTACTTTATTTCCACTGCCTTTTCTTGTTGACAATCTGGGCCTCTATCCAGCTTCAACTTCAACCGGAGAACAAAAATCAGGGCCTCTATCCAGGTTCCACGATGTTCCACGGTTCCATCACGCCGATTCAGGACTTCATGTCGTTGGTGCCGTACTTGGAGATGACTTTGTCCAAGCTTCAGGTCCTGTCAGACCTGGTCTTCCACCAGTTGGAGGAGATGGGACAATGGCGAACATTTGGGGATCCAAAAGCGTGGTACCGATATTTCAGGATGAAATCCTTCACTTTGTATCATTGAATGATATTGAATGATTTGGAGGGATGGATCATTTTGACCCCGGCCCAGGGCCCATACCCGTTCTTTCCGACTTCGGACATTGGGCCCAGAAGGGCCCATTTTCCTGGAAGCCCGGATCCGTGGTAAGATGGTAAGGAGTTACACAACTGAGATGTCATGGGTATACATTCATGCATACATACAGTGTATATATGGTACATAGTCATATCCACATAAAACACACTTCTGCTCGTTTCAGCCATGGTTGTCTTCCCTCCCGCTTCGTCATGCCCACAAAATGCTGGAACAATGAATCCAAGCGACCGAAATCGACCGATTGTTTCTCAGAGGGAATGAAACCACCCAACCAGGAATTGTTCTGTAGGATGGGCAGGAAATAGAAACCCTTAAACAAATCATCTTAAATCATCCAAATGAACCAACCAGTACCCGGGTCCTAAAGCAGGGCGCCCCCAAAACCCAATGGTATAACGGTATAATCATGATTTTCTTAGATGGCAATGTTATCCCCAATTTTCCAGCATAGCCGTTGCACACTTCCGATGATCGCCACAGGAAGATTTCAAGGTCGCTCCGCCAGACGTGGACTTAGAGAGTCCATTGGAAGCTTGGACATCCTTTGGCCTGGAAATGAACAAACCTTGCCTGCCATACCTTGTCACATTCAATGGTTGGTTTTCTGATTAAAAATGGCTGGATTCCAGTACAAGCCAACTCCAGAATCGGAACCATAAGTGTAATTAGCGTGCAGTAACTTCTGGATGGACACTTCTGATTTTGTTTATACCATTCGCAAGTGTGGATACGCACGCAGACTGTAGCTACTTATAAACACACATCCATCCATCCATCCATCCATCCGTCCATCCAGCCACCCACCCACCCACCCACCCACCCATAACATACATACACACGTACATACGTACGTACGTACATACATACATACATCCATACATCCATACATCCATACATCCCTACATCCATCCATCCATCCATCCATCCATACATACATACATACATACATACATACATTTAGATAGATTGAGGATAGATTAGATCAGATTTGATTAGACTGGGGTTGTATCGGTTGGGTAAGGAAGATAGTAGCAATATATGTATACTGTAGTATATTGCCGGGCGTGCAGAAGTGTCTGACACGTGTAAATCAACCGATGGATTGATCAATCTATCTATCTATCTAGTCATTATCATTATCTTCATCAACAAATCATGGCACATCCCTCTTCTGACCAATTCATGTCATCCCATATCAGCATGACATGTTGGTCATATATCCCCATGCTTCCCATGAAAATCCTAATGTTGGATATAAATCACACTTGGAGCTGTGGCTGCTAAACCCCTTTTGGCGTTTTTTTGTCCAGCGGTTTTCCGGTTGGATTCAGTAGCATTATGATTTTCATCATGGTTCGGTTATGATGTCGTTTGATTTTTTTCATGATGGGAGTCCATTTTTTTGTTGATGAAACCCCCATTTTGCATGGTGAAATCGGCACTTCCTGGCTACTTGAGATGTGTCAAAATCCTCAGTCATCATGAGAAATCATCAAGAATCATCAAGAATCATGAAAAATCATGAAAAATCATCAAGAATCATGAAAAATCATAAAAAATCATGAAGGGCCCCAGGAGTTCCCAAGGTCTTCCTCCATTTTTCCCAAAGCTCAAAACGGGTCCCGTGGATTGAGGACGGCGCCCAGACCATCGCCTCGGTGGTCGAGGGCAGCGATTCCTTTGCGGCGCTGTGGGCGGCGCAGGCGGAAGAAGAAGATCCCAGCGGCAAAGCTCAAGGATCAACGGGACATCAATGGATAACTCAGGGATAATGATTGGATTATCAATCATTAGGGATTATCAATTATCCAACTGAGGGAACAATAGTTCATTATTATGGATAATTCAGGGATCATTGATCAATAGATGAGTAATGCTGTCCCTGAATTTCCAGTAATAGATAATGATGGCTATTCATAAGGGCATTTTTTCTTCCAGTAATACATCTAAGATCCATAGATAGTAATAATTCCCACTAATGATCAAAATACCCTCTGGTAAACTAACATAACTATGGAAAACCGTCATTTTTACTGGGCAAAATCAACTATAAATGGACATGTTCAATAGCTATGTTTGTTTACCAGAGGGTAATTGTATATATTATCCAAGCAATTCTCCCATCATTGGATGATTGAGGGATCATCAATCGGACAATGGGAAAAGGACAATAGAATCATCAACGGATCATCGACGGGACAACTGTTGGGGAATTCCAAGGATTCATAATTAATGGAATAACTATTGGATGATAGGAATAATGGATTAACGGGAAGATGGATAGGAAAAAAAACGGGATAACCAATGGATAACGATAAATGTTCATATATGTTAATATGGGATACTACGTGATGCTAATAATTAATGGGTTGTTTTTTTCCTGAGACTATTGTACTCATAGGTTTTTAAACCAACAAACAAAACTGGGGGGGGGGCTCACCTTGTTACTGTTGGATAGTTAATGGGATATTAATATGATATGAATGATTATATACTAGGACAAGCAGTGGATAACCTATAATACCTATAATCATGCATTTGCTGATGATGTTCTGAAGATGAATGGGAAGATTAATGGGACAACTACTGGAAAGATTAACGGAATAATCAATGGATAATCAATGGCTTACCCATAATCCCGGATTTAAATGGAAGGTGAGACCCTACAGTTTGTGATAGCAAAGTTGACGCTAATATAACTTGGTGAACAGGTTTGGCTGATGAATGGGGGATATATTTATATAGTATTCATGGGTATATTTCAACAAACATAGCTGTGGGGCCGGACCGGATCATCAATTGGTCATATGAAAATATCCCATGAATCATGATACTCAGCTGGAAGAATCACTGGATAATCTATAATCCTGGATTTGCGGATGATTTGTTGTTGGGTTTAACCACTGGGAAATTCATTAGACTTAGGGGATCTTCTGTGGGAAGAGGCGGCGGAGGTACTGTGGAGGTCCACTTTAGGATTTCGAGGGGCATCACATGGTTTAACTCAGCAGAATGGGATTTCACTAAGAAAAAACATCGGATTTAGCTGACAAAAAATGGTTTGGTAGAAACAAACATAGGGGAATTCAGCCACCAAAATGATGGATTTGACCGAAAATGGAAATTTCACCGGCAAATTGGACCCCTGATCCTGGACCTTTCATGGTTTGAATGGTGTTGAACCACCAACCAGCACAAACATCGGGAGACAAGGTATATTTTCCCGGCAAAGAATGCGTTTTTTTTTGGGGGGGGTTTCTTTCTCCCAAAAAACTAGATATCGGAAAGTCCGGATTGGGTTTGCTGTATGCAACCAGATTGTTGGTTTGGAATTGGCTGGCAAAACTCTGTCCCACAGTGGACGTTCTTCCAGGGCACCATCCACAGTGCTGCAACAAATTCATATTTTCGCGGAGGAAATGAACAATAAATACGAGTGCGCATATGAACTAAAAATCACCTGATCTTAACCACCAAATAGCCACGTTGACATTTGATTAGTGCCCTGGAGAAACTTGGTACAAGATTTGGGCGTGGTGGATTCATCGTTTTCAGTATCACACCATATTTTAGGGGGTAGTGAAGGGTAGCAAGGGCCCACTACTACAATAGTGAGGACGTTTTTTGGTCACCCTGAGAGGGTGGAGATTTTACAAAGATGCAACCTACCCTCCCTCCTGGGTCAATTCGAGCAAGCGCATAGGTTCAACAAGCTCCAGTGTTGGTTTATTCAATCATGATTGGAGTGACTCTATATAATTTGACTAGATGACTAGATCCTGGAACTGAGGATTAGGATCCATGTTGGGTCAAGTGCTGGATGGAATGCCCCCCCCGTGTAAAACACACCACTCGTCCCGCTCCAGACCCTATCTTCGATGCTTAACTCTCCATTTCTTGATTGTCAAATCCTCATGTTACAATTTTTTCATGGATAAATCTCAAGTTTCTCATGGTTCAATCCTTATTTGAAGATCTGTTTGCTGCTGAAATCCCCTGAAAAATCTTTGCCCAGGCAACCACGCGGAGGCTCACGACGACACAGTTGCCCGTCTCGGCTCCGATGGGGAGGAGGAGCGAGAAGCGACGGAAGCGAAGCCGAGGAAGAAAGGCAGGTTTAGCCACCCGATCATTGGGGGATTCCATAGGAAACTCTTTGGAAAATCTCGAGGTAAATGAGGTTTCATCATTTTTCATGAGGTTTAGAGCTGGGAAAACTCATTTACAAATGGAGGTTTATAGCTGGGAAAATCATGGGATATCATGAGGTTTATATGTATAGGATTTCACCAACGATCATGGGAGAAATGGAGGAATCTATAGAGATTTCACACAAGTAATGTTTTATACAATGAGAAACATCCTGGAACTAAATGGAGGGATTTCACCAACATAGCTGGGAAAATCGTCGAAGTAATTGGTGGGTTTAGCCACCCGTTTGTGGCCATTCAAATGGAGTAAAGGACGGTGATCCCATTGGAAATGGAGGTTTGAGCTGGAACATCCTCCAACAAAGTATCTTGTGATGTTGTTTTAATGGACAAATCATCGCACTAATGGGAGATGTGAACCCGTTGCTATGTTCGAGAACACGCGAGGGTAAGTGTTGAAGATCCATAGTTGCCATAGGTGTTTCCAACATTCCGATAAAACACATTGTATGTTGATGTCAGCTTCCAGCAATGCATGTGTGTATCATCTGTTCTTCCCGCTGGTGTATTTCTACATTCTTGACGTGGATGCAAACTCACCCCAAGGGTACCAAACAGACACCGGACCTGAAGGCAAGAAGAAGACGCTGACGAATTCCCCGAAAATTGGCAAGGGGAAGAAGTGAAGGGCGCTGGATGATGGTGAAGAGTCGTCTCACTGGCTGATTTCAAACGACCCTAAGCGCACATGATGAGTCTATGTTTGGCAGCGGGGTGGAGCCATCAACAGTCATTGCGATCAGCCAGAGGGAAAGTGATGTACATAACTTCCAATGCTGAGTTGTGTAGGTGTGCTGGCACTCTGGCACTTGGGCACTCGCAGATAGTGCTGGAGGCTTGGGACATAAATGGGATTCAGAAATACTAGAAGTTCAGCCAGGTTCCGCCCAGCCCAAACCTGGATGGCCACTTCCAAACTTCCTTGACCCTCAAAGTACCCATTACAGAATAAAAATAAAGCCGGAGAGAAAAACGCTCTCTGGGGGCTTGAATGCAACATCGTTATGGGATGTTATGGGTAAATTGAAGGTCTCAAATCTAGACCCTGAAGCGAGTTGGGTCTTGACATGGCGAAATGGAGCTGAAATCGAGCTCCTGAAGCAAAAAGCTGAACGCAGGAGTGGCGAAGAGAGGCAAAGGGCTAACCGGCTAACCTTTGGCAAACTACCATGGCAATGGAAGTGTCATGTCTCATATGCCTGTGATAAACATATGTAACGTGTGACATGAATGTCGTTCATTGCGATTGAACCCTTGAAAATGAATATCTTCCGGTCTCTTGCTATGTTTTTTTTCAGTCGGAAACGTTGCGCGGTGAACGACCCAGGTTTGGCTGCTTCCAAGTCAGGGGCTATCAGGGTGGCTCAGGCGGTGCCCGCAATCCTCAGGGGCCAACGACCAGTTCACCATTGATATCCATTGATATAGCGGCCTCAAATGGCCTGAAAATGATGGGCATGGGCATGGTGATCAGGAGAAATCCAACAGAGGCCTCAAGCACCCTCAAGTCATGTCTGAGTTGTTGACTATAGAACATGCAGGAAAAAAACATTCAAATAAAAAAATATTCTAATATTCTGAGGAACAAGACTGCGCAAACATCGCGGGTATGATGAAATACGTTGACATGCACAGCCACCATGGCAATTGCAATGACCAACGCTGCAGGAATTAGCCACGTCCACCCGGGACTTTACAACTAGGAATCCCCATGCCCTCCAATAGTCTCACTTGCAGAAGCTACAGTATTCTATTGCGATATTTGAAAATAGCCCATTGATGATTTACCAGTTAAATGATGAGTTCCTATAGTTATGTCAAATTACCAGAGGGTAAATTGAGGAATGTTGTTCTTAGTATTTCCCATGTGGGTTTCCGACCTGTGAACTGCACCAGGCATGGGTTACTTGGCCAATGCCGCCTCAAGCGCCATGGGCATGCGGAATGAGCGAAGGGGGGCGGGGGGCGGCCTTGCTACCCCCAATCATGGACATACTGACATACCATACAAGTGACAACATGTTAAGGATTTAAGGTAGAGTTGTAACCCACTCAGAATCACTTTTGTTGGCTTGAACAGTCTCAAGCTCTGTACTTGTAGGATCTTGTAGGTACCCTCTGGTAAACTAACATAGCTATTGAAAATGGCCATTTATAGTTAGTTTTCCCATTAAAAATGGTGATTTTCCATAGCTATGTTAGTTTACCAGAGGGTAACGGCACCCGACTGTTGGTCAATCCACGTGTTCGCTTAACACCACTGGTAGGAGAAGGTGAAGCAGTGGTGGATCCATCCACGATTGGAGTCGGGACACCCGTGGGAAGCGAAGGGCTTTTAACCAACCAACAAGGATTTATCTGGATTTGCTGAGGAGATGTTTTTTTTTTGTTTGAATGGTTTTCCCAATGGGAAATTCACTACTTAGCGAATCCAAGGATTTATATAATCACCAAAAATTCGGATACACTGGGTGTAAAACCAATGGTGATCTGGCTGAAATGGGGGATGATGATCCCATTGGATGCCTTTTTTTGTTGGCTTTCGGCAAGGTCATTGATCAAATTGATCATAGATCAAGATTGATCATAGATCAAGATTGATCAAGATTGTTTTCCGCATGTCTAGACACCCATGGAAGTATTCTTATCATTCTGGCTTTTCCTCTGCCAATCGCTTCCAATTTCCTGAACGAGCTCGTGGTTTTTCTTCACGGAGTTCTGCCGGGCCCTCAGTATGATTCGGCTCGTGGACGGGAATGGTTATGACCCAGGGCTTGTGATGCTGCTGCATCTCCGCCGTCATTGGTGCTCTGGAAAATCCGTAGAGATCCGCAGAATTGCAGCTAGAGCAGCCATGGAAGCATGGCAGGTGCACGTGAAGAAGGACTCCTTGCACCTTCCACGCTGCAGCTATACCACTGGCTTGGTCGCTGCATGGAAAACCAACGATGGCTGTTGCTGGGTCATGACGCCAACGTTATTTTTTCCAATTTAAATGCTGAAAAATACGCCGGTGACCCAAGTAAATTATATATGTTGGAACATGTTGGAAAGGCAGTTTGATCACCGGCCAGGTTGTGTCATTGTCTCGGAGTACATCGCTTTGCTGTGTGCCATTGGGCTTCAAATCTTTTCTCTCGAGCCAGCATATCAATTCCTTCTTCCAGTTTTTTGTCCCTACTGTGAGGCGGTCCTGCTGGAAGCTGTCTTTCTAATCAAGATGATGTTTGATGTGAATGAAGCTCGCTGGAAGGTTTCAACATTTTTCAGCATTTGTCAACTATGTTCATGATACGTTTTATTCTCCGCACCAGCCTGGGATGATGATCCAAATTGATGCTCCATATCTTGGGGTGACCCAACCACCAACCAGGAAACTATCGACATCCTGTGTTGGATTCTTGTGGCAAAGCGTCTGGAAGATACGGAAAGTTATGACGGGGTTTCCCCACCAGCACCACGCACTATCAACTGCAAAGGCAAGATCCTAAGCATCCTCTTTTTTGTGCTTCCGAAAGTGGCGTGGGCTTACTTGATTAGAATCACCAAAAAAAAAGGATGAATGGAAGACAAGGAAGTATATCAGTATCTTTTTACGTATTAGTTCTAAGATGTTCTAAGATACTTTTTATTATTCAGCGCGGAGCAGTGTTTGTAGTTTCCCCCAGCAGGGCACGAAGCCACGATTTTTTAGGGGTTTCTGTTGGCTTTCAGCACATCCAAGGTGGCCATGGAAATCTTTCTGATCCGCATGGGCACTCACATCATTATTTGGACTGAGGAGGGTGCTTTGCTGATAAGGTTCCTTTGTGTGATTTTTGCCAGCGAATTGGATGAATTGGCCTACAATTCACTCTCATCCCAGTTGTTTGGAAGAACTTGCATTTGCTTGAAGGCCGTGACCATCGAAACTGGGGCCGGCAGGAAGGTATATGCACTCCTCTCACTCATTTGCAAGCTCTTGCTAGGGGGAGTAGCTTGGATTTGGATCCGCTGGCAGTTGCAAGTCGCCTGCAAAGACGAGTGACTTGTTTTTCATTGTTCGTTTTCAATTCGTTTCACGTACAAATTTCCTTGGAGTCTTGGAGGCACCGTCGTTCTGCTGGAATGTTAGAAAAAAACACGAATAGAGCAAAGGAGTAAAATGGATCAACATGTTCCCTTCTTCAATGGTTTGATGTCCAACATTAGATGACCTTCGGATGCAACCTGAATGCATTTCTGAGTTGGAAATTGACTGACATGAAATATGAGAGGTTCCTAGACTCAAGAAGTAGGCTCTACTGCTACCTGGGCTACCTGCTGAGGGATTTATTCAGCCAGGCTTGCTGCACTATATATATACTATTATACTGGATGCTGAAGCCATGAACTACATGATCTCCACTATTTCAAGTTGATAGAATGGCCAGTCACACAAAGTGATATTATTTTCGGAAACTACATTCAAAGACTTCAGGTGATGGCTGAAAGTTTTATGTACATGTGGAGATGGATCAAAACCTAAGAAATACCAGAATCATTTATTCCATGTTATTCCATATTTGGTGGGATGGTGAACATCCACAACTTCTAGCTAATTTGATGTGAAAAAGCATGTTGTCACACGACGCCGGACGGCTGAGGCCTGACGTCAGTGATGAGCGATGGGCAGGGTGGAGAAGGGGGCGTCCATGAACTGAACTGGACACAACTGCAGTATACACTGAATAATAAGGAACCGTGAACCGTGGAAGATTATAGGTTGGCATGGTCAAAATGCAATTTACCAGGTTTTGGATGAAACATCATGAACCATTATTAAATCCACGCTAAATCAAGTCCCCGTTAAATCCACATGAAATCCAATCAACTCACCGTTTTTGTTGGTCAAATCCTATAATCAATCTACAGACAATCCGGACGAAATCCCGTGAAATCTATACCAAACTAAATTCCACACAAATTCCAGACTAAACCAGACTAAATTCATCTAAATTCAATTAAAACCAGACCAAATCCACTTCAAATCTTACTAATCCTGTAAAACCCACTAATTCCCATGGTTTTGCCGCTTCACACGCCCAGGTTCTCCGCACCGGTGAGTCGGATTGGTGTGCGCCTGCAGGATATGACCACTGGAGAGTTGTGGGGGCCTCGGTGCCTCAAAAAAAACATGGGTTTATAGGAGTTTAACCAGAAAATATGTTGATTTTATATGGTTTTATAATGTTTTATATACGTTTTATATGGTTTTATAATGTTTTATATACGTTTTTTTTTTTTAATGACCAAATTTGACCAAGAAAGATGCCGATTTTATAGGATCTTAAGCCGCAAAAACCTAAGAAATATGTTGATTGACAATGATGAAAACTTCAACTTATTTTGGGCACACACACACATATATATATATAATATACATCATATATGTCATGGCCAATTCATGCTAATTATTTATGGGGATATGATTTGACTGGGATATGCCCTGAGCAAATGAGCAGAAGATATGGAAATCCACACAGGTTTCCTCTGGAAGTTTTTCTACAATCATCATAATCATCCGTTACATACATACATACATATGTACATATATCGCATAAATTGCTTGTAGGTTTTGGGTAAGCAGCTACATTGGATTCGAAAG